AGAGACAGAACAGGGAGCAGAACAGGCAGACGGATCGAAAAGCACTGCTGAGGGGAGCAGCGGGGAGACAGGAGAGGTCTGCTGCGCCCTGTGGGGAGCTCCCTGGCGGGGGGTGGGGGGGGGTCACACTCGTGCTGCAGAGCCTGTGGAAAGTTCACAGTGCTGTGCTTAACCCCTTGCGCCACCAGGGAGGCTCCCAAACAATTACTTGCTTGATGGGTTCTTGCAATTGCTTTTGACTGAATCCAAAGCTCTTTGGCCTCGTTCACGAGACAGGTAGTGCAGTCACCGGTAGTGACTTCATGACTCCATTTCTAAAATGGCTTCACAGGTGTCACCTTCGTCTTTTTCGCTCATTTCACATCAGACAAGATCAGGCCACATTTTCATCAATTAATTGCTCTGATCAACACATAAAGGTTGACTTTAAAAAAACAACGGTAGAGCAAGTCCTCGTTCAGACTCTCTGTGGCAGTAATCATGGAGTTGAGCGTTGGTGACAGAGTCCAAATGGCCCATAAAGTCTAAAATATTGACCCTCAGGTGGGTCTGAGTGTGGTGGACCTCAGTATTAAATAACCCTCGGGTGGGCCTGGCAGGTGATCGTGCAGGAAAGACACTGACAAAACGTGCCGTCGTCCCGAGTCCAGGCGTGCGTCGCGCTCTTCACGGCCAGTCTGGTTTCATCCGTTTGCCCATGAGCTCCCCGCTTCATTCTTGGACACCGGTCCTGGAGATGCCTTATGGATTCTCTCTGCAGGTATTTGCATGCATTTTAAGGCGCAGAATAGGAATGGTAATGCTCGTTCTCATGTGCGACAGCCACGTTGCTAATTTCCTTGGGGTTCCGTCGCGCCGTGGGTGGGTTGGTCAGATTCCCCTGACTTGTGTTAGGACTTAGTCTCCAGGACTTAGGAATTTTATTTTTTTCACCTAAAGCAACGAGAGTAGAGATTTCACAATTCTCCAGACTCTTCCCCCCTACTCCACCCCAACGCCTTTTCTCATTGACCACCTCAACAGGGAGGCAGAGTCTGGGTCAGAACCGCTGCGACCACTGGTTTCAGGTTCCATAAATTCTCTGGGTCGAATCAGGTGTCTGCTGACTAACACACTCAGATTTAAGGGTGTGAAATGACTTGGTTGGGGACGCTTTGCTGCTGTGACTTCACTTTTCCTCTGTTCTCGCATCAACTATTCCTGAACTCCCCCTCCCGCCCCTCGGCAGGGCCTTCTGAATGAGCTCATTTATTTTTTCTTTTTAGTGACTGGATCTGCAAAGTAAATTTTTTTAAAGGGTCAAAGAGAAAGCTCAGATTTGTACACAGATTGAGAGGAATGCAGCTCTCCAGTCTGCACTCAGGCCTTCCAGAATCCTGGCTTTTTGTCCCCTCAGACCAGCAAACTAAGCAGGTCCACTCCCTGGAAGACAGTCACGGTGTGTTCGGTCCCCGCCTTGCGCCCAGTCACGCGCTCCTCCAGGCAGCCTCCGCGGAGTCAGTCACCGAAGGCAGCTCGCTGGCGGGAGATCGTGGGAGACTCCCACCCCACCCCACCGCAGCGCCGAGAGGCCGGAAAGGTGGCCGTGTCCTGTTTCAGGGCTCTGCTGGCGGGAGCGGCGGTGAAGGCAGATTAATTGCAGGGCTGTATTTTTTAGTCTGTCCTGTCATTCACGCAAGGGAAAACTGATCCTGCAGTAAGGTTGAAATATTATGGAGAGAAGGGATTTTTTTAAAAAGATTTTATTTATGCACACAAGAGCTGGGGTACAGGCCAGAGGTGTGGGGGTGAGAGTGGGGAGAGCGGGGAGCAGAACAGGCAGACGGACTGAAATCCGCTGCTGGGGGAGCAGCGGGGAGACAGGAGGGGTCTGCTGCGCCCTGTGGGTCGCTCCCTGGCCGGCCGGGGACGGAACTCGTGCTGCAGAGGCCGCGGATGGCCCCACAGTTTGGTGCTCAACCCCTTGCGCCACCAGGGAGGCCCAGATAAGGATTGTTAAATGACACAAATTTTTACAAATACACACGCACACAATTTAAAAACCGTCGTCTTTCCCCCGTCACAGCCTCCAACTCTCCAACAACAGTCGTGGGAGCCTGCGACTCCCTGGACTGTGTGGGGACCCTCAGGGGCCCCCGGGTGAGAGGACCGTAAAGTGAACCTCCCGCTCCCGGTGCGCGGCCCGGGGCGTCTGGCCAGGTCCCGAGGAAGCGAGGGGCGGGGTGGGGGGGGGATGCCCGTCCCCGCGCGTCTCCCAGTTAGGGACGCGCCTTCGCCGCCGCTGCCCCGCCAGCTCCGGCTCCGAGCCGTCTCCGCCCAGGTCCTCCCGGGCCGCGGCCCTCGCGCCTCCGTCTGGCCGTCCCGGCTCCGGGGAAGGCGCCCGTCGGCGGCTGCGGACAAGAGGCGCCCCCGCTCCGCGGCCTGTGCGGCTGGGGCTGGCGCCCCTCCGCGGCCCCGCGCGGCCTCCCGGGGCAGGAGCGGGCGTCAGGGCGCGAGACCCGGGCACGGAGTCACTCCCGGGCGGGCTCCGAGGGCCGGGGACGGCCGGCGGCGCCCCGGGACGTGGAGCTCGTGAGCGGGGCTCGGGGCCTCCCGGTCCGCAGGGAAGGGGGCGCCGCCCTCAGGTCCCCGCGCCGGGGCGGCCCCAGGTTTCCGCCCGCGGCGGGGAGGGCACCGTAAACCCGCGCGCGCGCGCGGTGGTGAGGAGCTGGGGCTCTGCGGCGCGGAGGCGCGTCTTCTCCGCGCGCCGCTCCTGGCGAGCCCGGGAAGCCGTGGCCGGGCGTGTCTCTCCACGCGGGCGCGGGCGGACCCGGGTTATTCTCAGCTTCTGGCCGCGGGAGCTGCGCGGGACGGCCGCTTCCCATGTCCCTCCCCGCCGGGGCCGCCCCGGAGACGCGCGCCTGGCGAGCCGCGGGGCCCGAACGGGCGGCCCCGAGGAGACTCGGCTCCCCCGCGGGACCCGGGACGCGCCTCTGCGAGCTCCTGGCGCTGGTCGTGCCGCTCCCGGGCGGCCGGGGCACCGCGTCCCCGTCCCTGGCGGGCCGCGGGTCGGCTCCCCGCCCTCCCGCGCCCTCGGGGCTCCCCGCCCTCCCGCGCCCCCCCCCAGGAGTGTCGCGGCGACGCCAAAGCAGGGCACGCGCGGCGGAGAGGCCAGTGCACACGCGTGTGCGTTTATTTTGAACGTCTTGAGCACATACATTTCTTCAGCTTTTCCAGGGAGCATCGCGCCTGAGTTGCAAAACAGAAAACAGAGCCCCGCGCGCGCGACCGTCCCCCGCGGGGCCCCAAGTCCGGTCACCGTGTCACAGTCACGAGCGGAAAGGCCCGCGGCTCCGCCGCCTCGGCAGACCCCGCGGGCCAGGCCCGGCCCCTCTGACAGGGAGCCCTGCCCGGGCTCCGCGGGCTCCCAGGAGCAGCACAGCAGAACAGGAGTAAGAGTGACCTCGGCGCTCCCCACACGCGCGCGCACACACGCACACACACGCGCCCTGGGGCGGACAGCAGGGTCCCCGCAGCCGCGGCAGAGCGCGGCACACGCGCAGCCTCGCCCGGTCACCGCGGTCACCGCGGGCAGGAAACCTCCCCTGAGATGCGGCGGGAAAGTTAAAGCTATTTACACCGACTCGCGGCGCGCTGCGTCCTGTGGCCGGAGCCGCTCCCGGCCTGCTCGGACCCGGCCCGGCCCCGCCCGGGGTCTCTGCCAGGCCCAGGCTCCCCGCCGCTTCCTCAGAAGCTCTCGCCCCGGAGACACGCTCCCGGCCCCCGGCACGGTGGCCCGAAACCAGGGCCCGCTGGAGCCCGGGAGGGGCGGTCCTCGGGCGGCGCGGGGGGCCGCGCCGGGCCTCGGGGTGCGGTCCGTTGGCAAAGGAGGAGGGCGGCCGAGGGGCGAAGAGGCTAGAACTTGAGGAGCGCGGGGGTGTCCTGGACGTGTCGTGCTCTGCCCTGGGTAAGCGAGGGCGCTGCCCACCTGGCCAAGACCTGGGCCCCGTCCGGGCCGGAGTCTCCGCCTGCCCCGCGCCTTCCTACAGCCAACGCTGAGCCCGGGCCGGGTGGGCGCGGCTGACCCCGCGGCCGCCCAGGAGCGGGGATGGAAGCTGCTGCCACACTGGGGTCCCCCGCGCCGAATACTGCAGAAAACCCCTCTTCTTTTGGCTTTGTCCTATCAGTGAATACCTGGCCTGGGGTGTTCCCCTCTCCCCCCCCAGAACACTAGGCGGGCACCTCCGTCTGCGCCGGTCGGAGGGGCGTCCCGAGGGGCTGCGGCCCGCGGGGGCGGCTCCTGCAGGGAGGGCGTGTTGCCCGGTGCTCTGAGGCGCGGCGAGGGTTCTGGACGCCGGGCCTCTCGCGAGAGAGCGGCCGCGCCCCGGGGTAGCGCGGGCCCAGCGGGGGACAGACGAGCACGCCGCCCCGAGGCGGGGGGCGCAGAGCCACACTCTGGTCCCGAGAGGCCTGAGCGCCCCGAAGGCGCGGCCACTGCGCGGGGCCACTGCCCTCGCGGCCGGGTCTCCTCAGCCCCTCGCAGAAGGGCGGCTTCCGCCTGCTCCCCGGATCGTGCCACGTGCCGGGACCCCGCGCGCTCTGAGGAGGGAGGAGCGCGGGGGGCTCCGGGGTTTCCCTGAGGCTGCTGCGCCCGGCTTCGGCCCTGGCGCCCGCCCCGCCGCGCCCCAGAGAAGGGCCGGTGTCCGGGGTGTGGGGGGGGGCGGCTCTCCAGGGGCTCCCCCGCCCCGCTGCGGGGTGCGTCGGTCCTGAGGGGCGGCCACGCCCGGCGCCTCGGGCCGTGACCTTGTTCTTCGGCGGGGAGCGCGGTTCCGTCCACCAAGCGTCCCGCAGCGGGGCTCGCGGGAGGGGCCGCCTCGGGGCGGGCGCTGGCTCCAGAAATGAGGTCCGGTCCTCGCGGCCGAGGGGGCCTGCGGGGCGGGGCGCCGGCGCGTCCCGCGCACAGGCTGGGGGGAGGCGGGGGGCTCGGAAGGGAGACCCCGCGGGCCCCGCCCGGACTCGAGCCTCACGACGGCGCGTTCCCGGGGGCCAGGGGGATGACGTAGACGGAGATGTCGTCGCCCGAGCCCAGCCGGTCGTGCGCGATGCGCCAGCCGCGGTCCTTGAGCACGCCCGCGCGCGCATCACCAGGTCCTGCGCCGCCAGCGTGTACCTGCGGGGGGAGCCGTCAGGCGCGGGCCCCCGGGCCCCCTCCCCCCTCCGCCCCCCCCCCCCCCCCCCCCCCCCCCCGCTCGCCCGGCCCGGCCGCAGCCTGAAGCGCTGCGGGCAAATCTCTGAAAAAGGGAACTGGGGCGCGGGTTGAGCCCCGCCCTGCGGAGCTGCCCGCGGCCTCTGCAGCCCGAGCTCCAGCAGCTGCCCGCGGCCCACTGCGCCCGGCGGACCGCGCCTGGTGCCGCTGCCCGCAGCGGTGGGGTCAGGGGATCCCCCGTCCTGCTCCCGCTCTGTCCCTGGGGTCCTCTCACCCCCCGCATCTCTGCACCCCAGCTCTCGTGTGCACTAATAAGTCTTTAACCATAGAAGGTGACCTGGCGTGACGCTGACGCTGCACGATCACAGGGGCGAGGAGGATGTGAGGGTTTCGGTAAACACACGCCTCGGCCGCGTGGGGGGGCGCCCCCCCTGCAGCGTCCCCCCCCAGCACCCGCCGGCTTCCCCCGGGGCGCAAGGGGGGAGCAGACGTCAGCGCCCACGGCCGGGCTCCCCTGTGCCCCAGCGCGTCTCCCGCATCCCCGGCGGCGCTGCCCCCCCAGGGTGTCGGGGCGCAGGTCCCGAGGGCTGCGCGGCCCGTGGAGCCTCATCTCTCGGGCCGCGGAGAGGAGCCCCCCACCCCCCTGCGCCTCCAGCCTCCACCACGCTCCACGCGGCCCCCCCCCCCGCGCCGGCCCGGGGCGCAGCCGAGCGCCGCGCAGCGCCGGGCTGTGCGCCCCGACTCCGGGTCGGGCCTCCGGGGGCTCCCCGCGCGCGGGCCCCGGCGTGAAGGCGAAGCCAGAGGCGGCGGGCGGGGGGCGCCGGGCCGGCCGCGCGGGGAGCCGTCCGCGCCTCGGGGTGAGCGGCGGCCGGGCGGGGGTGCGCGGCCGGGCGGGGGTGCGGGGCGCAGCGCCCGCGGGGCGGCCCCTGGGCGGGGCGGGGCGGCGCTCCGGGGACTCCGGCTTCTCCGCAGGCGCCTCCCCGGTGTCCCCCACGGGAGCTGCCCGGCCGGGCCCTGCGGCCTGGGTGCGGGGGCGCACTCGGGGCAGACACAGCTTGGGGGTGCAGGGAGCAAGTTAGGGCGGCGCGAGGCGCAGCGGAGGGGGGCGGAGGACCCGCTCCAAGCCGGGCCCCGCCGGGCGGGGATCGGGGGCGCCTGCGCTGCGGGGAGCGGGGTGTGGTGTGGCCGAGCTCGCCCCTCGCGGGGGCTCCCTGGGCACAGTCTGGCTCCGGGGGCGCAGCTCCCTCCCCGGCCCGAGCTCGCGGCCTCGGGGGAGACCAGCCGTGGGTGGGGGTGCGGGCCTCCAGCTGCAGGGGGGTGGGCGTGGGGGGGGTAGGGAGGGATGGGGGAAGAGGGCGTGGGGGGAGGTGGGGCAGAGGGCGGGGCCGGGGGGGTGGGAGGGGCCTGGGGGGCCGGGACCGGCCTTACCCGAGGGCAGGAGGCGGCGGCCCGGAAAGGCGGGTCCCTGCGCGGGGAGAGTCGCGGCCGGAGACGGCCCCGCGGGGCCTCTGCCCGCTCGGGTTCCGCGGTGACCCCAAGCGGCCGCCGCTCAGGGACCCCCACGTCCCCGCCGCGGGGAGCCCCGCCTGGGGGCCCCGGACCCCAGAAACGACACCACCGCCACTGCCCACGGGTGCGGGGGTGCCTTCGCCCCCCCCTCCCTGCCAGCCGAGCCGGGCAGCGGCCTCACGGCGCCCCGTGGCGCGCAGCCCCCCAGGACTCGGCTCTCCCCAGGAGGCGCTCAGGCGGCCAGGCTAGTGTCGGGGACGGGGGTGGTGCAGCCGGGTCCCCAAACACTTGCGCATGAAGGGGGCCCCGCGGGACAGCGATGCCATGCCGGGTGGAGCCGCGCCCCGAGGCGGCCCTGAGGGGCCGCGAGGCCGGGGAAGGAGCCCCGGGGCTGACCCAGCGGCCTCTCGGCTCCCAGCACCGGGGGCCGCGCTGGGGGCCGTGCGGGAACAGACAGAAGGGGGGACCCCACACCCTACACCACACACCCCCACGGGCAGCGCTGGCCTCCAGCCCTCCTGACCCCCGTGGCGGCCTCGCCCTCAGGGTGGGTGTCCGGGGCCCTGAGAGGCGGCCTGGCTGCGCCCGGGGAGCGACCTGCTCTCCCTGCAGAACAGGAGGCGGCTCCCCAGGGTCCCCACGCGGCCTCCATCCAGGCAGCCCCACACCAGTCACCTCACCTCTCACCTCAGGGCCTCCGGCCTCCCCGAGCAGCCCTGCGCCTGCCGCGGGGTCTCGGCCGCCCCGGACACTCTCCCGGCGCTGACCGCGGGTGACAGAAGCCGTGGCCCGGTTCACGGGGCTGCCGGCTCCTTCCGGGCCGGGACAAGAGCAGATCAGCTCGCGGGCGGGAGGGCGCCGCCAGGCAGCCCCGCCGGGACTTGGGGACCGAGTCCCGTGCCTGGGGGCCCCGTGGAGACCGCGGAGCCTCCTGCCAAGTGACACGCAAATACGCGGAACTGCCACACGCGAGGCCGCGGCCGCCGGCTCCCCAAACACGCGTCTCAGGCGGTGTCTCTGCTCTCCCGGCAGGACGGGCCGGGCCGGGCCGCCAGGTGGGACAGGAGGGTCCCGGCGCGGAGCGGGAGACGCGCGCCGCTTCGGCCCCGCATCTGGCGACCGGGTGTCCTGGAGCCGAGGACCCCGCTGCTCGCCTCCTGTGCCCGTCACAGCAGGACGCCCGCCCGGCTGTGCTGGCTCCTGGGGGGCTCAGGCTCCGCCTCCGGATCCACGCGGGACACCCGCGGGGACAGGGCCTCTCCCGGAGGACTGTCCTGCCCACGAAGGCGGGCCCGTCTGCGCTTTCCAGAGTCCCTCCCAGGCCCTGCGCACTCCCTGCGGCTCGGAACGGGCCATCCCGCAAAGAAGGAAACTTCCCCCCTAAGTTCTGCTTGTCTGAGATTCCACACACCGACCAGAATCTTCCTCCTCTGGATCCCGATGCTCCACCTTCACCAAGAACGCAGCCCCGCCGCGGGACGCCTTACCCGCCTCGGTGCGCGGGCTTTGGTCCAAGGCTTTGGCCTGACCTCTCCCCGGGAAGACAAACTTTCTCTTTCCTGCCCGGTTTGTTCCATGCAGAGCCCGGGAGCCCCTGGAGCTCCGAGGCAGCAGCTCTCCGGGACCCAGGGAGGACACCCCCAGGTCGCTCCCTGGAGGGCAGGCCTGTTGCCATGGAGACAGACTGGCTAAGCCAGGCCCCACGGACCCTCCCTCTGCCGCTGGCCGGCTCTGCAAGACGTGGCCCGAGGAATCACAGTGAAGACTGGCGAGGAGCCGTAAACACAGAGCAGGGCTAAAAGCTCAACAGGAGGAAAATACATCCGAATTCAAGTGACAGAATAACCCCATCGGTGCCCGTGCATGTCCGCAACATCCGAACAAGCCTAGGCAGAGCGAGAGGTCTTGCTTCACTTTTTTCCAGAAGGAATCCTCTTGGTGTAAAATACACAAAACACGCAAGATGGCAACAAACACAGCGATAGCCACGGGCGCGCGCAGGGCCAGGCGCCATGGCTGTCCCCAGAGAGAAGCCACAATCACGAGGCAAATGAGCGCTCAGAGCAGCACCCGGGCTCTCGGCCGCCAGTGCGCGGACAGCCTGGCTCGGGACGGCGCCCTCCCTGGGGAGCGGAGGCTGGAGGAGCCCCGGAGCGGACACCGCGGGGCGATGCCACCCCCGAAGCCCGTCCTGGAAACTGGGCAGCGGCTGTGAGCCGCACCTGTGACTGGGGATGTTTCCGACGGAGGGTGGGTTTATGCTCCACCGAGGACCGGATGTGGGGCTCCGTGCTAGCAGGACCCCGTGTTACAGACGAGGAATCTCTGGCACTGGGAGGTCAGCAACTTCACAAGGTCACAAGCAAGAGGCCACAGCACTGGGATTAGAACTCAGTTCTGACCAGATTCCCCGTCAGACTACGCGGCCTCCGGGCTTTACAGCCCACGGTGCACAGCAGGTGGCAGCGTGAAGAGGACGGGACAGGCGCCTCGACCAGGCGTCTGTCACCAGCTGAAGGGCCCAGGGTGTGGCCAGTCCTGTGGGAAGCTCGCCGGGGGCCTTGGCCTTCTCCCCAGGTTCATTCCCTTGCTCTTGGTTGTAACGAATAGCTCTATCCCTAAATAGCGTATTATTAGCTTCTTACCTTAAATAAACAGAACCGTGTGTTCCTCTGTGACTCGCTTGTTCAGTTTATCGCTGTTTTGAGAGCTGCCCCGCTAGCGAGCACAGCTTCGGTCCATTCCCTTTCTCTGGTCTTTGCTTACTCGTGCTAGGATCGCAGGGCTCCCAGATTTTTATTTTTTAAAAAGATTTACTTATTTATGCACACAAGAGCTGGGGGACAGGCCAGAGGTGTGGGGGGTGAGAGGACTCACCAGAGACCGAGTGGGGAGCAGAACAGGCAGACTCACTGAAATACACTGCTGAGGGGAGCAGTGGGGAGACAGGAGAGGCCTGGGGCGCCCTGTGGGTAGCTCCCTGGCTGGCAGGGAGATCAAACTCGTGCTGCAGAGGCTGCGGACAGCTTCGTAGTACTGAGACTTAACCCCTGAACTATCAGGGAGACCCTTAGATCTATTTATTTATACAAGAGCTGGGGTACAGGCCAGAGGTGGGGGGGGCGGTGAGAGGATTCGCCAGAGACAGAGTGGGGAGCAGAACAGGCAGATGGTCCAGAAACACTGCTGAGGGGAGCAGAGGCCGCGGACAGCTTCACGGTGCGGCGCTTAACCCCTTGCGCCACCAGGGAGGCCCTCCCAGTTTTTTAATAAAGCAGTTCTGTGGGTCTCTTTTACACACCTCAGATCTGACTAGCGTCAGAATCACCTGGAAGATTTGTCTAAACAAACTCCTGGGCCCTCCCCCTGGGGCTGTCGTGGCTGATCCAGGGTGGAGCCTGAGAATTCTCTGAGCCGTGGTCGGGACTCACAGGTCAGCTCTCCAGCTCACAGTGTTCCCTGCACCACTGCTGACTGGAGCGGTCCCCTCAATTCTAATCCCCAGTTTGAAAATTCTCACCTCCCAAACGTCCAGTTCCTTATTTTAAAAAACTGCAGTCATTACAGTGGCCTCTCGTCTTTGTTCGTGTTTCCAGCGCTTTTAAAACATCTCTGCAATGTGCTGTCGTACCTATGTATGTCTTGCTGACAGGGAGATCCAAGAACAAAGTATTTAAACACCCAGCTCTGCTGTCTGTCTGTCTGTCTGTCTGTCCGCTGCGTGTGCTCACGGTGACTTGCTGTCTTGTGTCTAAGTGAGAGCTGCTTTCCGCAGAGGGGAGTTCTGTTTGTCCTGAGTCACCGAGGTCTGGCAGGATGCTCTAAGAGACACTGAATTTAATCTTTTTCTCTCTCTGCAATGTGTCTCGAAAGTAACCATTTCCCAGTAAATGAAAGCGTGAGGGGAGCATGTGCTGTCGCTCTCAGGAGGCTCACAAACCGGCTGAGGATACGGAGCAGCGCCACGACAGACACAGCTGAGCTAGTTCACCCAGCAAACCCTTCACCGCCGAGCCGGGAGTCAACTTAAGGGCGTCTGACGGCGCAAGCACCTGGGTCAGAACCGTGGTCCCCTCCGCACCTCGGGCGCTGACCCGCCCCTACCAGCTCGACGGAGCCCGGGATGTGGACAGCGCGTGACCGCTAACGGGGTCACCGCATCCCAAGGCGTGCCGGCGAGCAGCCCCGGCCTCGACGCGCACCCACCTGTGAGGGTCGTCGGGGTCGCAGTTGGGCAGGAACTGGGCGATCGCTTCCGCCACCTCCTCGTTGGACAGGACGTCCCAGAGCCCGTCGGTGGCCAGGATCAGCACGTCGTCTGCCCCGTGCTCGTATTTGGCGAGGTCATAAATTCTCACCTGGAAAGAACACACGACCCCGTGCTTAGGAAGGTGGGGGCACATGACCCCCCAACAAGTGGGGGCACATGACCCCCCTGCTCTTCCCCTGCCTGGCCGCGAGGCCCTCGGAGCCCAGTGGGGTGCTCAGGGGCGCAGTGAACCCCGGGGCCGGTGCAGCAAGTCCTGTGCGGACGGGGCAGCTGGAGGCCCGGCGCACACCCTGGCTGTGCTCAGGAGGCGGCCCTGGGAACCGACGAGGAGGAATTACATGAAAACTTGAAGCCTGAGATGGAGCTGGGAGGGCAAGTGGCAGTGGACACCGAGCTAGAGAGGGGAGAAGCCGGAGGCGCCCTCTGCACATCCAGACCTTCCGCACGGACGCTCGGTGAGGGCCCGCAACGTGCCGGGCGCCGGCAGCCGGACAGCCCCAGATCCCTGCCGAGGAACAGCCCGTGGGCCGGGAGCCGCAGCTGCCGACCTGCCGGGTGACGCACCTTCCCTGTGCACGCGCTCGGCTGCCTCTGGCTTCCCCGCTCTGAGGAGCGAGGGCTGGATCCACCCTCCTGAGGTCGGCCTGGTGCTGTCCGGGGCCCGGGAGCCGCAGTCCAGCCAGATCCCACAGGACACGCTGAGCCACGCCCGAGGCCTCTCCCCTCTCCAGCACCTGGAGCCACGCGGACACCTCGACACCCCCAGACACCGAAGACAGCAGAGCACCTGCCGGGGAATGAGCGTCCGAGCTCCTTGGCCTCCAGCCCCTGCCGCCAGCCCCCGCGGCCTCAGCCTGCAACGCCCCAGGCGGTGGGCATGCGTGTGGCGTGAGCACACCTGGGCCTGGCGTGTGGCGTGAGCACACCTGGGCCCGGGGGCGGGCGGCGGGAGGCACACCTGGGCCTGGCGTGTGGCGTGAGCACACCTGGGCCCGGGGGCGGGCGGCGGGAGGCACGGCTTCTCCTGGGCACTCCTCACGCCTGTGAGACGCCACCGAGGCTCCCAAATCCTCTTGGAGGCTGTGACCTGGCCGGCCCGGAGCGTCACGCCGCGGCCCACGAGGGGGAGTGAAAACCCAGCCTCGCTGGGCTGACTGTGCGCTCACCCCGCCCCGAGAGCCGGCGGCGGGCGGGGGGTTACGCGGCTCCTCACTGCCCGGCACAGCACCCCCTCCCCGTCCTGACCTGAGGGCTCCGCGGCCCAGGCCGTCAGCCCAGCCCTGCAGCTCGCGGGACTCCCCTCCCTTCTGGAAGCCCGAGTGAGGCTGTAGGCGGGAGGGGTGGGGGGAGCTGCCACCCCGCCCGACCCCTTCCCGTCCCCCCGTTTCTAAGCGCCCGCGGCCACTCAGACCCGCCCCAGTGGACGCCACACTCACGTCTCTGCGAGGCCTGCCCAGGCCGGGACGCTCGGCCTCCTGCCGACCTGTGCACACGGCCTCCACCCCGGCAGGCGCGGCAGGCGCCCGTCCGCCCCCGGGGCTTCGGGGACATGCGCTCAGGGACAAGCAGCCGCAGTGTGCACGCTGCCGGCTGCCCCCGAGAGGCCGACGCGGCCAGCAGCCGCCTGGACAGGCCCTCGGGTCACCCTGGAGGGGTGTGCACGCCAGGACAGGACGCGCTGGCACGCGGGGAAGAGGCGGCAGCGGGCCTCAGTTCACCACAGACCGAAGGCCCCGGGGGCCGGGATCCGCCCTCAGCCCCGGGCGCCTGCCATTCGGTTTACTCTGCAGAAGCAACGGGTCCTGCCCGACTTGCTTCCTGGGCCCGGCGGGCCCCTCTGGACAGGCCTTCCCGGGCGTGAGCGCGCGGGGCCAGCCGGGTCCGCTGGGTCGGCTGAGGTGCAGAGTCTCAGTCCCGGCGGCGTCTGCGCCCTAACCGCGCCCTCGCGAGGCTCAGCCCTCGGCCACGCACGGCTCCCCCGGCCAGGGCTCCCCCGCAGGCCGTGAGGAGGACGGCAGGGTCGCTCGCGGGCTGCCGCTTGCAGGGCCGCGGTGCATGTTGGTGGTCCTTGGGCCCCAAAGGGCAGAGAACAGCAGAGGCGGTGAGCACGTGGCGCTCGGGTCAGGCGGGAGACGCGGCGGCCAACGGGCGACTCGTCCGCCGTCCAGGCCCCTGTCAGGGGCGTCTAGGCGCGACCCGCATCCTGCGTGACTGCGGGGCCCCCTGGAGCCGGCGGCCAGACTCCCAGGGCGGCTGCTGCCCCCTCGCCGCGGAGGTTTGGGTCGTTCAGCGGGAGCCGCCGGCCTGGAGCGGCCCTGGGGCCACACAGAAGCAGGCCCGGCGCTCCTGTCCCGCCGCCGGTGGCCCGGCCCGACCCCGCCGCCCGCGTCTCGCGCGCACCCGTGGACGCGGCCGTCCCCTCCCCAAGTGGCCGTCAGTAGCTGATAAGGAGCCGGTGGCGGCCCCATCCCCGGAACCTCTCAGGGTCTCTCCTGCCAGCCTCGTCCCGCCCTCCCGCCACCCTCCGAGGGACTCGGCCAACCCTGCGCTCGCAACTGGACTCGCGCGCTGACCCGAGGCGCAGGGCGGTGCCGAGGACACGCTTCCAGAAAGGCCGGGCTGGGCGCGGCCGCGAGCGCCTCTCACGGGCCAGGGGCTTCCGGGAGTCCAGGCCTCCGCCCTGGAGCTGCCCCGGGTCAGACCACAGGCGCCTCCCGGAAGCCTCCTGCTCCCCGCCGGGCCCAGCCTCAGGCCCAGGAAGCCTCCGCGGCGCCCAGGACCGAGGCCTCCGGCGAGCCGCCGTGGATGGGAGACGAGACGTGTGCCAGACACGCCTGTCTGCAAGGAGGGGGCGCGCTCAGGGCTCCCCGCGGCTCCACCCCACACCCCGCCTGCCGGGAGCGGGGACGCCAGGCAGGAGCAGCCACGCGTTACGCGCCTGTGTGGGGGGAGCCGCGGACCACGCCTGGCTTGGCGGCTCCACACGGTCGCGGCCATGGAGCTGGGCGTCCCCTGGGCGGCGTGAGGGGCGCGGCGTGACTGGCCACAGCCTCAGTGTCTCCCTTGAGGTGACCGTTAGGACGAGGGGCCTGGGGCTGCGCGGGGCCTCCCGCCTGACAGGTCCTCCCAGGGCGGTCACACCCGAGGCCCCACGCGGGGCGCCTGGCCGCGCGGCACCGGACACCTGCTGTCCCGGAGGCGGTGGCCGTCCACGCCCCCACGCGGAGCCGGCTGCCGGGCCGCGCGCAGCAGTGCACGCTCAGACACGCCACGGGAGGGTCTTCTTTCGGCGTCTGCAGACGAGATAAACTGACCCTGGAGAGTGAAACCGCCGACAGCCTTCGAGAAAGGCTTTAGCCCAAGTGCGGTATCAGGGCCCAGGCCGAGAGCGCACCCCGCGCCTGCCGCTCGCCGCCCTCCCGTCAGCGGCTCCCTCCGGAGCTCCCACGGCTTGTTCACCAGAGTCGCGGGGGCACTGGCCGCACGGGCTTCGTCCACCCGCGAGGGCCCCGAGAGTCTGCAGTCACTCAGCTGCCTTGTTGTGGAGAAGAAATCCCGTCCGGCGCCAGGCCCGGGGTGCAGTGTAGACGCTCTGAGTCGTGTCCGTCTGCTCAGGAAGCAGGTGCAGCGAGGCCTGGCGGGACCACGTCCCCCCGGAGCCTGCGGTCACGGGGGGCTCCGTCTGCGCCCCACAGCAGGGCTAGCATGTCCCCGTGAGTCTCCAGAACGCCCTGGTCGCCTGACTCGTGGGTAAGGACATGGCGGCTTCGCTTTGTCTTCGGAAGCCGCCCGCTCCGGCCACCGGGAGAGGAAATAAGCGCCGTGCGCGTCTACCTTGTGGGGCTTTTCACAGCGACATGTTTTCAGAGGTCACGGGCAGCCGGGTGCGGGGCTGGAGTTCAGGAACTGAGTCTGGGGTCTTCATTTTTTGCCTCCGGGGAGTCTGGTTCCAATGCCAGGAGAAACGGTCTCCAGAGAAAGCAAACCGCGGGGGAGCCGCGCAGTCTGAGGTCAGAGGCCAGACAGGACTGCGGAGGCCACAGAGCAGAGGCTGCGGGAAGACCCGCGGCCGGTGGCGCAGCTGGCAGGGGCTCGATTTCCACCCTGGCCCCAGACAGAAGACGACCTCGTTCCTGGAAGAGCCCAGGGGCTGCAGGCAACAGCACGGCCTTGGGGCGGGGCCTGGCGAGGCCTGTTCAGTGGAGCCCGGGCTGGAGGACGGGCCTGCTGGGCGCGGAGGGGCCAGGCTGAGCCCCGCGAGGCGGCGGAGAGGCGCAGCTGGACGGGACGGCCCGGACGCGGCCTCGCCTGTGTGTCCCCGCAGGAGGCGCTGGAGTCCCCAGGGGGTGGGCCGGCTGCGCCCCTGCACGGCGGAGGCAGCGTCTTCGGCTGTTACAGAGCCAAGGCCAAGGCCGGCGGGGCCTCTGCCGGGGCCGCGTTCTTGGCCAGAAACTCGGCCCGAGCCCCGGGAGACGGGGGGGGGGGGGGGGGGGGGGGGGGGGGGCGCCTGGCGAGCTGGCGGCCGCTCCTCGGGCCTGGCAAACGCGGGGTTTTTCCAGCGCCTGGTGTGCAGCGAAACCAAACCTGGGTTTGGCCAGAACCCCTTCCCTAATCTTCCGGCCCCTGTGCACTGTCCATGTAAATCGGATCCACATGTGTCTGATTTCTTTTTATTGAACTCATCAAAGTGAATTAGGAGCAACAGTGGCGCACGGAGCCGATGCTGGTTTCCAAGAAGATCCTGGAGCCCGTTCTCTCAGAACTGAACCATCGCTCTCCCCCAAGCGTCAAAACCGCCAGGCTGAGCTGGGCCTGACGTGCAGAGCCCGTGGGAAGCGACCCCTGCCTGGCGCGCTCAGAGGGGAGCAGGGCACGCGCGCCCGGAGAGGCTCCGTCCGACGCGCTGGGCCGGCTGGCGGGGAGCGGGGCCAGGACAGGGAGGGCGCCGCTGTGCACGTCCTTAGGTGCTTGAAATAGCACCCCGACTTCTGGGCGCCCAGAAAGTGCCCGCGGCCTCTTGTCAGCGCACTGCTCCAGCGCTGCCACCGTGAAACGCATTTCTTCCGCCGCCACTGCCGTCCCCCAGGGGGGCAACCGGTCCCGCTCCTCTCCGCCCCCACCCCCTTCCCGGCCCCGGCTGAGTTCTCTCCACCTGGAAGCGTTTAATGTACAACAGTTTCACTCCCCTGCAGAAGGGCCTCGGGATCCACCCTGGATGGCATTAGGCTGAGCGAGAGGTGGACAATCTCGTTTCGCGCGATTCCGCCTGGCCGAGGTTGCACACGCCGCAGCCAGCACGGCCTCTCCCAGATCCCCTCCTCCCGCGCGGTCCCCCGTGACCTCGGGCCCAGGCCATGGCTCTTTCTGTCATGGAGGGCCCAGGCCGCCAGAGCCCTCGATGCCGAATTCACGGGCCCTTGGGCGCTCTCCAGAGAGTTACCTGGAGCGGAGTCCGTGTCTTCCACAGGCCTGACTGACTGAGACTCGGGCGCAGACGCCGCGCTGCTGCTGGACAGCCGTACACCGTGGGGCCTCGTTCCCTTGCCCGGGTCTCACTTCCCAATTTGTCCGACGAGCACAACCACCACCTTACCACAGCGACTGCGAGGCCGTCGGGGCCGTGTGTGAGGAAACCGCGCTGTCTGGTCCAGGCGAAGCAGCCACCAAGCGTTGTTACTCTTATAAAAGCTCCACACTTGACTCAGTTCTGCTGGTTTCCTGGGAAAGTGCCTCTGGGGCCCCCCTGGGGCGCAGGGTTACGTCCCAGCACTATGAGGCTGTCGGCAGCCTCTGCAGCACGAGTTCCATCCCCGGCCAGGGAGCTCCCCACAGGGCGCAGCAGACCTCTGCTGTCTCCCCGCTGCCCCCCTCCACAGTGTGTTTCGTCAGTCTGGCTGTTCTGCTCCCCACTCTGTCTCTGGGGGATCCTCTCACCCCCCCATACTTGGCCTGCACCCCAGTTCTTGTATGCAGAAATAAATAAATCTTTAAAAAAGAAAATCTGCCTCTAAACTACTATTAGTTAAACTTTTCTATGACGTAGGAGCAAAATCTTTTCCACCTGGTCTGGCATGAAATCACAGCGGGTTTCTCTTTCTAGCCGGCAGACACTGCTGCCTGTTTTACAAGGAATCTGATTTTTTTAACCCAATAATGCGTTCACATGTTCTCAGTTCACTTCTCCCAACAGCAACGGAGCGAGACCCGCCGTCTGGGTCCCTAAGTCTAACGAGGGGGCAAGTCGACACAGGACAGCAGCCCAGAGCAGGACGTGACCACGCCAGGGACTTCCCAGCAGGGGCCAGGAGGGGGTGGCGTGTGGTGGGGGAGGACCCGGGACGTCTCCATGGCTGAAGCGTTTGAATTAAACCCTAGCAGGGAAGAAACTGGAAGGTCACAGCTGGGGGGGGGAGGGCATCGTGTGGGGTCACCCAGGCACATTCGGGAGACGGACAGTCCCGGGAGGACAGCAGGTGCCTGTGATACGCAGGGGCGCGGCCCGCTGGAAGGCCAGGCCCAGCAGCACCGGCCTTAGGGCCCCGCGGAGGCTCTGCGTGATCCACTGAGGTCAGGGGTGCAGGGGGAGGGTCAGCGCGGCTGCTGGGGTGCACCTGCCGGCCAGGGATGTGGGCAGGGGCAGGGCAGGGCCTGGGGCAGAAGCTACACAGCGGACACACGCGTGGCGCCAGCTGGCTGCTGCCTGGAGGTGGGATGGAGGTCAGGGAGGAACAATCTAGAACAAGCCCCGCGGTACCTCCGGCGCCGAGGACAGGAACGGCTTGATGCAGATGTTGGAGTCGTGCACCTTGAGGTCGTGGTCCCCGAGCCCCCTGGTCACGCCGATGGTCGCCATCACCCGGGCCTAGGGCGGAGCAGAGCCGTTAGTCGCACAGAGGCGGCCCCTCCGCTGCCGCCGCCACAGGCCAGGGGAGGAGACGCCCCTGGGCCCGCCCGTGCCTGCCTCTGCCCCGACTGACTGACGGGGGAGCCGGAGCCGTGCCAGGACCGAGGTCACTGACCGCGGGGGAGGGGTCCCGGCGACGGGCGGCCGCCTCTTGTCAGCTGCGTCAGAGGCTGGAGGGAGCTGGGTCTGCACGCCCGGTCGGACGCCGACGCCCGCGCTCCTGAGTCAGAGCAACCAACTCCAGCGACATCGTCCGTCCATCCGGTGACACCCCGATCTGTATTCACCTCAACCAGCTCTGACGCTGCCCCCACGACAGGCATAAAACATAGTCAGGGGCAGCCCCTGCGCGGCGGAGCTCACCTACCACGCTTAGAGGCTGCAGAGGGAGCCGCGCGGCCCGCAGCCTCCCCTCCTGCACGCGCCTGAGGGCAGGAACAAAATGTCACTTGGCTCCAAGGACACAGACCCCAGGGGCTGAGCCGCCCCCACAGGCTCTCTCACCCGCCAGCGCTTTGAGACAACAGTGTCATTACACGAGCGCTCACAGTCAGCCTAACCGATCTCCTGGAGTATCAAAGAGGGAATTTGTTGAAACAGCTACTGAGCACCTACTATGTGCAGGTGCCACGCAGGGGAGGGCGGGGAACGCACAGATGCCGCGGCGACCCAGACGGGCCTGCTCTCGCGGGCGGGGGGCAGAGCCTACCTTCTTGCCTTCGCCATATATGAGGGGGAACTTCAAGTCATCGTCCTCAATGGTTTTGTAAGCCCTGCGGGGGAGAAACGACATGTTTTGACAAGGTTTGCTCTCCATGAGTGACCCGCCGCCCGGACGCGGCTGCCGGAGGCGTGACTGTCCCGAAACGCCACCCGCCCTCGGCGCTGCCGGTCTCTCTCCGGACTCTCTCCTCTCAGGTGTGTCTGTGTGCGCACGTGTATTTTAGACACCACCAAGGCTTTCTATGCTTGGAGACACGGAAAATAAGCTGGCGTGTTCACAGTTAGCAAGACGGGGAGCTGGGAGTCTGTCCTAAGCCGTCGGTGTCTGCCCTAAGCCGTCGGTGTCTGCGTGCTAAGGACGCACCCGGCAGTGCTGCGGGGCCCTTGTCGTTAATCAGAAACTGAGGCGCAGCCGAGCCCCGAGCCGGATGGCGTGTGACACGGCTCCGAGAGCTGGGTCTCACCTCCAGGGGGTGTTTGCACCAGAGCAGCCTCAGGTGGGGCTGGCTGGGAGGGGGTACTTAGAGCACGTCTGACCTCAGTGTGACACTCCAGGTTGGCCGAAACCTCTTTGTCTCAGAACAAAGTGAGACGTGGCCGTTCGACACAGAGAGAGAATATCCCGCGTGGGCTTCGTGGTTGAGTGCAGACGCGGCTGCCAGGCCCCACGGCCTACACAGCGGGGCGGGCCAGTGCAGCCAGCGCAGCCCGTGTCTCGCGGTTCTGCGAAGGGAGTTAAGAAATCGACCTCCGCGGCGCCCAGTTACTAGCCAGGCCCCCCGGGACAGAAGCCTTCCCGGGCCGACGCCTCGTCTGCAGAGCCAAGATGATGGCGCGGGATGTCAAGAGCTCGGCACAGGGCTTGGCGGGAAGCTCTCAGCGAGGGACGGCGATCATGAACATGGAGTCGACCATGCACATTCGACAACCAGTTCTCCCGGCGAACACAGGGCCAGCACCGCCGACTCGCCGCTTGAAAGGAGTGTTCGGAAGACGAAGGGAAAGGTGGGTGCCTTCCGCCAGGGCAGGGGCGAGCAGCAAGACGCTTTTCTAGAACAGTGTCTCCTGCGTGCAGGAACAGCTCATCTGCGCAACGCCTCCCCCCGTCCCAGCCCTGGAGAGAGCGGGGCCGCTGGGGAGAAACCTGACATCACATTGATGGAAGCTCTTGACATACAGAAGAACGAACCCCAGCTTCCAAAGAGAACAACCCCAAAACGAAAGCAGGTCAATCCTTATTATCTGGGACAATGTTCTGAGGACATTCCTTGCCGGGGTGCAGACGCAGGGCTGCCGCGAGGGTGGAACGGCGTGAGGGGACGGATGTCGGGCACTGCGCCTGCACAGGCCGGGGGTCGAGAAACTCGTGCTCGTGTCAAGGCAGTTACTCGGGGATGGAATTAAAAAAAAAAAAGCTATATTACCTCTTATTACCTCTTTCCCCCAATTAAACGAAGCACAGCTGCCTGAACTGCGGGGTGTCGGTGTTACAGCAGCGCGGCTGGGCGCTCACACGGGCGCCACACAACTGTGTGACACCTTCGCACGAGTCCCTTGCAGGAACCACCATGACGAACACACTCAGTCTGATGAGTCTGGGGCTCAATAGTTGTCAGCTTTGGATGCATATTCATCATTAATCACCCGGGAGGGTTTTTGTGGTTGTTGTTTAAAGCCCCGATTCACAGAGCGACTGGACAACAGAAACGAAAGGAATCCCATTTTGAAAAGAAGAGAAATTACCATCTCGGTCAGACACGATTTCTCTGCCTGTGACTACAGAGAGCGGAATTCCTACCCGCAGACATGAAAAAAAAGAAACTAAGAAGGGGTGGAGTGGCGGGAGAAGCTGTTGTGTTTTGCTCTAGTTTCCTCTTAAGATGAAATCCTGGGGCCGGGTCGTAGCCCACAACGATGACTGCCAGCTGCCCGGCGCGGGGCTGGGCACCAGGGGCTCCGGGAAGCGTCCAGGGCCGCGTCGAGCGCGGGCATCGCCTTCCCGGGCATCGCCTCTCCCGGGCGCTGGCGCGGAGCCCGCCGGACGCGGCCTGGGTGCGTCTGAAACGCGTCTGGGGAAGCAGGACGGTCCCGGCCGAGATTTTTCATTCCACTTTGGGTGCGATGAAGTGAGGGTCCCCCTGACGGCCCTCCCCGGGGTCCTCGAGAGGATCCCGTTTCCCGCTTCACCCTCGGAGAGGCGGGTGTGCCCCACGGAGGCCGCGTGGAGGCGCAGAGTCGGGACTGGCGGGAATGGCTGCACAGCCTCCGGCCCAGCCGGCCCGCCCCGCGCTTCCACGTGACCCTGACCTCAAAATCCCCGTTTAATGTGCTCGAAAGTCCCCGACTGCTCCTCTGTGAGGGGGGGTCGCCCGGCTGCAGGGGGTGGGGGGGCCTGAGACACCGCGGCAAGGCCCGGCCACGGCAGGCCCCTCTGCGGCTCCCCGGGGCGCGTCCTTACCAGCCGGTCATGTTGAAGTCCCGGTACAGCATCTTCTTCCCGAGCTCCTTCCTCTGCACGCGCCGCGGGAACTCCAGGTGCGTGAACTCGTTCCCCAGCAGGTGCGGCTGCATGAACGCCTGGCAGCAAAGGGAGCGAGAGAGACACGTAGGCAGAGGGCGGGGCGGGGCTCGAGGGGGCCCCGCAAGCCCCCCGGGGCGCATGATCTCGAAATCCAGACACGCGGCTCTTCTTTGAGGACAGACTGAGGCGCTCAGCACACCGGCAAACACAGCCCAGGGCTGCGGCTCACGCAGGGGCGGCTCACGCAGGGGCGGCCCGTCCTTCTGGGCGAGGATTCCCTGTGGCCACAGACACGCTCCCACCGCGCGCGCGGGAGCAGGCGAGCGACCCCAGGTGGCTTCCAAGTTCACATCCCAGATGCTTCCACTTTCCCGAAGGGCAGGTTGGGGGGGCAGGAGCGCGCGCCTGCTCACACCCCCACCCCGCGGCCTCGGCCCTGGCAGCTGCGGGCCCCACACAGCACCTGACACCGGGAGGGCGTGGAGGAGCTGGAGGCACCAGACAGGCGCCGTCTGCCCGCCGCCCCGCGCTGCCTCACACTCAGCATTTAACGGGAGCAGACGGCCTCTCCCCTCCCCCGAATCCCCGTGCACACGCGTCCCGAGCAAACAGCCCCGTCGGGAAAGGCCTGGAAACAAGGAACAGCCTCGTGCCACCTTCCACATGCAAATCCGGCTCTTTGAGGACGCAGCGGTCCAGCGTGAGCGCCTGCATCTCCCCCCGCGCCAGCAGCAGCCGGGGCTGCAGCGCCAGGAGAGAAGGGGACGGCGGCATCCCAGCAGGGAAGGCCTTGGCGAGAGAGCGGCCGGCGGACGCGGCTTCTGACTCTAGGACTCCCGCATCTGAAGGGCAGTGGCCGCAGCGAGGGTTCCGGTGTTGAAAATAAATCTTCAAAAAGTGAGCCGCGGCGCTTCCCTCTCGTCCCCGGAGCGAAGAGGCCTCGTGGGATGACCCAGACGAGGCTCCCGCGACACGAGGGCTAAGGCCGCGCGTGGCAGGAGACGAAGCGCGCGGGCCACGTCGGGGCGCGCCCAGGAGCGGCCAGCCGGGGCGGCTCTCAGGAGCCAGGCCTGGCGCCCGAGCTCCCGCGCGGGAACCGGATGTTAGGGTTTGAAAAAATGAAGCAAAAAGGTGAAATGGCTGAGACCTAAGCACGCGTGGGTTGGAATCGCTCGTGAGGATTTCTCCGTCTCCGTCTGTCCCGAGACTCGGAGCAACGAGACCCGGACCTGCGCAAGGCGGCGCCCGCTGCGGGGCGGGGGGCTGCCGAGGCTCTGTCCGGTCAGCGGCCGCCAGGAGAGGCTCACCCCGAAACACGGGGCCGAGCCGTGGCCCAGAGAGCAGGAGCCCCGGGAACCACCTCACGGCCGTGAACAGGCGTCTCCTGGCAAGGGCGGCGCAGAGACACGCGCGCAAACGCTGGAGTCGGCCAAGCCGGCTCGTCGTGCCCACCCCCGCCACAGCTCAGCGCCCGGGAAAGCGGGGGGCAGGCCCAGGAGCACGGGCTCTGCGCGCCTCAACACCGCGTGCCCCACACACCCCACACCGCGCTCACCCCGCACGCCCCGACACCGCGCGCACCCCACACACCCCGACACAGCACTCACCCCGCACACCCCACACCGCGCTCACCCCGCACACCCCAAGCCGTGAAAGGCCACAGCCCGCCCAGAGGAGTCAGGACAGCGCAGGGTCGTGTGACGGGGGTGTGGGGGCGTCAGCACCACAAGCTGCGGGGCCGCTCCCGAGCCAAGAGCAAAACGTTCCTCCTCCGGGCAGCCCCAGCGCCGCTCCCAGCGCCCCAAGCCGGCCCGCGGGCCCCTTACCAGGTACTGCAGCCGCTGGCGCTCCGTCTCGGGGGTGAACTCGGAGGACATGGGGATGATCTCTCCGTTCCTGATGATGATGGCCCTGGGGGGGGGGCACTGTCAGCTGGGGGCGCCGCAGCCCCGACTCCGACTCCCGTCAGCTCCCCGGACCGGCTCCACACACGCGCGGAGCGCCCGGGGGACACGACACCTCTCTCCGACCCGCACCGCGCCGGGGTGTCGCCCTCCTAGGCCGGCGCCCTCCAGCCGGCGCGTGGACTCTGGGCCGGCTGGAGCCCGGCCGGGGGGCAGCGCCGAGCACCGCGTGCCCCGAAAGACGCTCTGGGCACACGTGCGCGGTGGGTGACGCCACAGGGGCCTCCGGGCGCTGGACGGGGGCATCCAGAACTCTCTGGATCGTGGAAATGGCCCAGCAGGGCAGCCGGGAGCCCCATGGGGATACTGAGCGCTCGGAAGGCGGCCAGGGCAGCTGGGAGAAATGAATGTTCAATTTTAAGTTTGGTTCCCGCAGCCTCGCGTGGCGGCGGGCACAGGCTGTGTTTAAGGGAACAGACGACACGGCTCCAGGTTCCCGGCGCCCCAGTGTTGGCGGCCAAGAACACGGGCCTGGCCTGGGAGGCTGCTGGAAAGGCAGATCATGCCGGCAGCCCCAGAGTCCCATGGAACAAGACCCCCGGGGAAGTCACAGGCACATGACGCCCGAGAACACCTCGCCTGGGCGCCCGAGTGTCCGGGTCACGGCCTGGTCTCCGGAGAAGCCGCTGCTCCCTCGCCGGAAAGTTCAGGCGTCACACAATCCCGAAAACGTGCCCAAGGCTGCTCCCGAATCAAGCGCTTTTGCGAGAACAGGGATCCCCAGAGCCAACATCAAGGCTGCGGAGCCGTCCCCGGAGCAATCGCTCCTCGGCCCGTTCCCGGCAGAACCCACGAGCTCGGACCTTCTCGCTCCACAGCGGCTCCTGCCGGCCCCTCTCCCGCCGTCGGCGGCCGTGGGGGCTGCCACTGCCACGCGATGGAGGCAGCTCAGGGAGGGACACGCCTGGGGCCCAGCAGCTCCGGGCACCAGAGCTACTCAGCTCAGTCCCTGCTCCTCCTGCTCCCCGCGCCCTTGCTCGGCCCCGGGGTGATGGCAAGTCTTACTCCCTGCCACGCTCCCTCCCTGCAGACCCTGGTGGCTTCTCAGCGCCAAATCCCCCCTCTGGCCTCTGTTCTGGCCTCAGCATCCCGCCCGCTGCTCCCCTCACCCCCACCTCTCCCCTCCTCCGGACGGCTGCGCCGCCCGGCCCTTCTCTGCGACCTTGGGAACCCACGCTCCCCGCGGGCACAGCCCCCCCAGCTCCCACGGTTCCACCTCCCCAAGGGCATTCTCTGGGCAGGGCCTAAGTCACCCGGGACCTCCAGCCCCGGGGCCTGGTCCCGGCGAACACACCCCCGCTGTCTGCTGCCCGGGGGCGCGAGAGCTGGACGCGGGGGATGAACCCACGTGCGCAGGAGCAAAGGCCCCCGAGCAGCTGCAGGCATCTGCTCCGGTCGGACTGTGCAGACCGTCGCCGGATGCCGGGCCGGGGAGCTGACGGTTCTGGAGGCCGCCACGCCAGACAAGCCAGGCCTCGAGCTCACACCTGGGGTTGGAGTCCAGACCAGCTGCATCACTGTCTCTGGGGGTCTTTCCCCTGCAGCGGGAGCCGCTGGCGCGGAGCAAAGCGCTCTGGGCCTGGTGTGTTAGAGAGTCCTGACGGCTCCGAGCTCCACCCCCAGCTCCAATTGTTGGGAGGCCCGCAGCCGAGCAGCACGGCTGGGAAACGCACACAAATGCACAACGCAAACAAGCAGGAGGCAGATCCTCCAGTGTCTACCCTTTCTGGCAGCTCCCCCTCGAGGTTATAACCTGAGCACCAAACACCAGGTGTAAACACGGGGTTAAAGGCTAATGCTCCAGCCCCCACGGCTCAGGAGGCCCAGCCAGCGGTGCTCAGTGATGAGCTCTCGCCTGGCCTGGGAGTCAGTGCTGACCCTGTCTCTGGGCCTCGCCTGGAGAAAGAAGGGGTAGGATCAGATTCCTGTGCAGTCTTTCAGGTCTAAATTTAAATGATTTTGGAAATAACGCACACGCGCACGCGCACACGCACACGCACACGCAGGGGGTGGAGATGCACAGGCAGCGACTGCAATGACGACTTTTCTCAGGAGCTGGGAATCATTCTGTAGCGTCAGCACAGAAGTGCCAGGACAGCAGCAGACACGGTCAGTGCTTCTCTGAGATCATCCAGGACAGCGAGGCCGGGACCGAGCAGGCCCCGACGCAGCCCCGCGGCTGGCACCAGCCTGCGCGCAGCGGGCACGTCTGGCGCTGCGGGCGAGTATTCATGAGAGGCCCCGGTTCCCCTGCACCCGTCTTCAGCTGAAAGGGATTTGAAACGCAGCGTGAAACCGTGCATCTCCAGAATGGAGGAGGAAATCCTGCGCACGGTGACAGCGAGGAGCCGTTTGGAAAACCTTTTCTGACAGGGTGTATCAGGCCCAGCGCCCAGGGTGCGGCCCGCGGTGTCGCCAGGCGTCAGGCCTTGCGAACTCCGTTCGGATGCAGCGGCGGCTCCTTCAAAAGCATCAGCGATGCGTCCAGGGAAGGAAAACAGGTCGGCCAACAGGAAAGGCCGGGTCGGCACTGCCAGAGCACAAGGGGTGCCGGTACTACCCACAGGCGTCACAGACAGCTCAGGGCAGCCTGCGGTTGGTCTCAGCCCCGACAGCCCTTTTCCGGTCCAGGTAAAAGAAACGCTAAAGGCAAAGTTTCTATGTGACCTTGAGGAATCGACAAACCACTCCATGACCATTTAGCTGACAGTGAAGAGCAGGAACCAACATACGGAAACACGAGCAAGTTAAAAATGTCTGGAATGTCCACAAAACTCGGCACTCGGCCTGCAGTCGGCCTGCGCGTGGCCGCCGGCGGGGACAGTGGTGGTGGCTGCTCCTTGGAGGGGGTGACCATCCACTTGCACCCCGGGGCCAATTCCAACCTCAGCCGGGCCGGGTGCCCACAGGGGAGTCGCAGGGACGGGCCGCGCCCTGAAGCACCAGGGCTCACCCTCGCGCGCCAGAGCCGTGAGCCGCCCAGGGGGTCTGCTCCGGAGAGGAGGCTCGTGGGGGACAACGAGCAGGTGCTTCTTAGTACCTCAGGGACTGTCACGTGGCAGAGCGACCCTGTCTGGGTGGGAGGGATGACCTTCATCCTGTGTGTATGTTCTCCGCTACGCAAGAGCACACGGCGCGTGCGACGGCGGCCAGGTAGTGAACAGATGCTTCATGAAGAAACGGGCACAAAGTCCCCCCGCAGGGAGCGCTTCCTCACACCAGAGCAGGTGCAGGGCTCATGGAGGCCCAGCTGGGCTGGCCACGGCGAAGGCGGCTGAGAAAAGGCGAGGCGCGTTGACTGAGAAGCACGAGAGCCGCACAGAACACGCCATGGGGGGGGCTCTGTAAACTCTGACACGGAGAACGAGGAGACACGCGAGTCGGTGTGAAAACTAAATGCATGAGCCCGGTGTCCGCAGGCGGTCCCGGCGGCCCCGGCGGGGAGAGTCTCCTGACCCGCAACTTCAAAAGCCCCTTTATTGCCTGGAAGCCGCCGGGAGAGCAAAGGGCGCAGGCCGGGCGCTCACAGGCCTGGCGCGGGGTCCAGGCTGCTGGGCAGCAGCACTGCGGGCCTCTTGTGCAGCGGAACCTCCCAGAAGCAGTGACCCGGACCCCACAGCTGAATCTTGCAAGAAAGAAAAAAAAAGGCCCGGATGTTTGTCCTTGGCCGGGGAGCCGGGAGGTTTCGTAGAGGGCTTTGCTGGAAGGGGCTTGGTGGCTCCTCAGCGACGACCACGGCTTGCCAGGTATCAGGTTGGAAACAAGTCACAAAACTCGAGAGCTGAGGGAAGATGACAGGCTGCCCAGCCCAGCCCAGCACACCTGAGTGTAACTGTAAACGCCGTGGTGTGTGAGGGCGCGGCCACACACACACGCACACGCCGCACACGCACACGCACACACACACACACGCACGCACAGGCTTACAGGGCACGCTGACTTGAATCCAGCATCTGGACGGACTCCACCTGGGGAGAGAACATTCTAAAGCCTCCAGCCTGCGCGGGAGGCGCCGAGCCGGGCCTGCTCCCGCCGCACGAGGGCTGACCCCAGGAGCCTCCCCTCCGCGCCCTCGCTGACCGCGCAGGCTGAGACGGCCGCGTCTCGTCTGAAGTGACGAAGAGGCAGCGAGCGGGTGGGCTTGGAGAGAGAGCGGCCTCCGAACCGCAGCCTCACCGGCTCAGGGAGGAGACGCAGGAGTGGCAGCCGGAGACACGAGGGCTCCCTGAGCCTCAGGCGACTCCCTGGGCGGCGCCCCAAGTGGCTGAGATAGTCGACATCCATCAGAGCGAGTCCCCGGGCTGACACGCCCTGGACTCTGAGGGCCCCGCCCGCCCGCCCTCAGGGTGGCCCCGAGCCCGCGTCCTCCCTCCCGAAGGAGCCCAGCCAGGAGCCTCCCGTGGCTCCAACCACAAAACCCTCCTCGGGGCCGCCCCACTGTCTCCCCGCAGAACTGGGGCTCCCCAAGAGTCAGCGGGAGCTGGGCCAAGGAGACCCTCCCACAGGAGGCTCTGACGCCAGGTCCACTCTCGGACAAAGGGGCAGAGGCCCGGAGCGCCGGACTGGCCGCCGAGAGCCCACAGCCCGCGGGACCTCCCAGACCCCCGCGCTGCTGGCACGTCGCTCGGCTCTCCGCCCTCTCTGTCCGCTGCTCTTTAGAGCCGGGAGGGGTGCCCCGCTGGGAGGGGTGCCCGCTGGGAGGGGTGCCTGCTGGGAGGGGTGCCCGCTGGGAGGGGTGCCCGCTGGGAGGGGTGCCCGCTGGGAGGGGTGCCCGCTGGGGAAGAGGCTCCTGCGAGCTGCAGTCTCTTCCTCGGTCAACGGAGGTGAAACAAAGGGGAAATCCCTGACAGCCTCCCAGGGACAGAGCGGAGCAGGGCGGGCAGGAGCGGGAGGGGGCGGAGGAGCAGGTGCCCCGGCCGAGGAGGACGGAGGCAGAATCTCGAGACCCCGGCGCCAGGGAGCTGCTCATCCCCCGGGACCCGCCAGGCGAGGCCAGTCCTCCGACTGCCTTCGGAATCACGACGCGGCCTCTAGGAAAAGGCCCCGCCGCGCGGACAGCCCGCCCTGCCTGTGAGGCCGCGCTCCGACACTTCCACACAAAGCCTCATTTTAAAATCCCCTTCCCCGCCAGGCCAGCGAGGAAGCGTCCGCGCTGCGAAATGAAAGCGAGCACGCCGGGGCTGGGGAGAGTGAGCTCAGCCGCGGTCTTCGGCCCAAAGTCCACCCCGAGGCACCCAGAGGGGAGGCGGCTGCGGCCTCTAGGGGAGGGACATGAAAGGAGAAACTTCTGGGCTCCCGGGAGGGGCTTGTGCAAAGTCACTGAGCAGAAGTGGAGCCCGCTGGGGTGTCCTCCTGGGCCCCCATTCAGCACCCCCTCTCTCACGTTATGCCTCTGCCACGTCTGCATGAGAAACCGGTTCAATGTCAAAGCCGCTCGCGCCGACCAGCCTAGGCCAGTCCCAGCAGGAGGCGCCGGTGTGGACGGGTGGGGGGGGGGTCACCTCCGCCTGCAGCTCAGCCCGATTCTGCTGCCTCAACTTCTACCCGGATGTAGCGGAAGACCCAGCCCCACGCACGGGTATTTTATGGCTCATCGGGAAGAAAGCGACCAGCAGGCGCCAGAAGACCCGCCGCCCGGGGCCCGCTCACCTGCTGTCCCCGGCGTTGGCCACGTACAGCTTGCCCAGGAGGCAGACCACGATGAGCGCCGTGCAGCCGCCCGAGATGTTGTACGAGCTCCGCTCCCGCTCGATCTGCAGGTCCTGCGGGGGAAGGGGAGGCCGCATGGAGGGCGCGGGCCCCGGCATCAGACGCCCCCGCGGCCTGGCGCAGGCTGGGGGCGCCCCAACGCAAGGACTCGACAGCCCTCGGCCCTCAACGGACAGCAGCACTCGCGCCACCCCCAGAGGGCGCGGGGCCCCGCGGGACGAGCCGCGGCCGCAGAGGCAGCCAAGCCCGTGGCCCCGGCCCGGGTCTTCGGCCCCAAGTCTCCGAGGAGGGCCCGGCGGGCTGGGCCAGAGGGCGGCCTGAGACCGTGTCCTCCCGCCGCCGTCAGCAGCCAACACCCCGCCTTGCTGACCAGGAGCCGCCCCCCGCCCCGGCTGACCCGTCTTCCTCCTGCCTGACCGTGCCGGGCGCCTCCACCGGAAAGGCCGACACCGGGGCTCCGCCTGGGCCCAGCAGCTGACACCGAGCCTCCCCTCGGTCGCGTCGCCGACCTCGCTGCTGGGACGCGGGGCGAGGGGCCGCCCGCAGTTAGCCGGTTGGGGGCCCGGCTCCCACGCAGCGCTGCCCCCCCAAGCCTGCGCTCCCCCCGGCCGGGGGACGAGAGCGACAGAGGCCTGGACTCCTGTGAGCCCCGGGACACAGACCCGCAGGACCGAGGACGAGCAGCTGCCGGTGTCGTGACAGCGCCGCGGCCGCCAAGAAACCTGAGCTGGTCGGTAAGCGTCAGGGGGTGAGGTCAGCGAACCCGCACTTGTCGCTAGTTCCAGCGCGTCCCCCGCCCGGCGCGCTCGGCTCCTCTGTTTCTCCTCAGATCAGCACACAACCCGCCCCGCGCGGGGCTGCCTCGTGGCTCACCGTGGTTTTCCAGGACGAAAGTGACCAGCAGACCCCAGACGTCTGCCCCCCGGGCAGGGGGTACTTTTTAAAAGTCAATGAAATTATGGGGACAACTGCCAAATGCTCTACCAGTAGCACCAGTTTGGAATGTTCCCCATTTTCATTGCCAGGGAACCCCAAGACAGGAGTCCAGGATGACCTGCTAGCAACACGCCTGGACGCCGCCGCCTTTTCACATGTGACCCCTTAGAGACTCAAATGTCCGGGCTCAGGGCCGGGCCACGGAAGCCTCTGCTCCCCCAAGAGCCGGCGGTTCTCCAGGCCGCGCCCCGCTGAGCAGGACGCGTCGCCCTGAGCCATGGCTGCCAATTCTGCATCTAAGCCGGGCTTATCTTTAAGGCGGAAACAGGTCCAATTTTCCTAACTTGGGGCTCGGGGGCTCCCCTCTGCCGCGGGTGGACGCTGTGACGGAAGGAGACGAGCGAGCAGAGACGCTGGCAGGCAACGACTTCGGCTCGGGAGGGCTGCGGTCGGGCCGAACCGCAGAGAGGCCGCCCCGGCAGGCCCCGGGGTCGCTCCCGCCCAGGCCAGGCTGCGTGGCGGGAGGGAGCAAGGGCCGGGCGGTTTCGGCGGGACCCGGCGGCCCCCTGGTCGAATCACGGGCCTGAGAGCGGCTGGCGGGGTCGGCCACGGATGCTGACTGCGCGGGCTCTGGCGGGGGTGGGGGCGGGGGGCTGATCCGGCTGGCCCCGAGCGCGAGCCAGTCCCGCGTCGCGACGGGGAGGACGCGCTGGGCGCTGCCCGCGGGCTCGGGCGCAGGTGGGGCCGCGCCGGCCCCAGTCCCCTGTAAACGCGGTCGCGCCCGCAGCCGTCGGGGCTCGCAAGCCGCACCGAGCTCCCCAGGCAGCCTGTTCCCCACCTTCGGGGGGTGAACCGCCCGAGGCGCGCGCCAAGCCGAGGGCAGTCCCCGCCGAGGGCGCGGTGAAAGGAAGACACGTGGCCGCCGCAGGGTGAGAGCATCGCCATGGCCCTCCCTTCGCGACACGCGGGCTCCCACGACACTCCGCACGGCGGCGAGGCCGTGGACAGCCACGCTGCCCGGGGAGGGAGCCCTCGGGCCGGTGGGCGAGACGCCAGCTCCGCGGCCGGCTGCGGGGAGGTTCCTCACCGAGGCTCGGCTCAAATTCCCGCTGACCCCGGACGGGCCGGCGCCCAGCGCGGCCTCAGGGAGGGGGAGCGGCGGGGAGACCACGCCGGGACGCAGGGACGCAGGGACACTCCTCTCAGCCACGGCCACGGCCGCGGGCCGCACGGCACAGAGTCACGACAGGTGCCCGAGCTCGGCTGCGCGCCAGCCGGGTCCCGGGGCGCTGGGGGGAGGCGAGGCCTCAGGCCGGCGTCCCTGAGATTCTGGTCCTTGCGGCGGCCCTGGCTCACTTCCCACCGGGGACGCGGAGGACGGGCTCACGGTCTCGCCACGATGCAGACAGACCCGAGAGGACACGCGATGAGGAGCCGCCGCGTGAGCCTGCATCCGCCCGCGGGCACGGGGCCTACGGGGGGCTGGCGGGCAGGGGTCACCCCCGCCCCGGCCGCGCCGCGCCGGGCAGCCCGAGGTCAGAGCGGGCGGGGAAGGCCGAGCTCGCCCAGACGCCCGCGGGGTGAGATGGACTGTGCTCCCCCTCGCGCCGAGAACCCCCACCCCGCCTCTGTCAGGGTGGATCTCACCACTGGGACGTACTTTTCCCCCAGAAATGGGTAATGTTTACTCTGGGGTGGAGTTTTTGAGTCTTTTTAACCCGTTCTCCCTCTTAGGGGTGATATTTCACTACCCCTACTTAATGCTATTTAAAAATCTTTTAAAAAGAGAGAGACTGGGCCTCCCCAGGGGCGCAGCGGGTGAGCGCTGGGTGGCGAAGCTGCCCGCAGCCTCTGCAGCGCCGGTTCGATCCCCGGCTGCTCCCCGGCCACCGGCGGAGGGAGGGTCCCACGTGGCGCGCAGACCTCTCCTGCCGCCCGCTGCTCCCCTCAGCAGTGTATTTCGTCAGTCTGCCTGTTCTGCTCCCTGCTCTGGCTCTGGTGAATTCTCTCACCCTCCCGCGCTTCTGACGGTACCCAGTGCATGTATAAATAAATAAATAAATCTTAAAAATAAAAAATAAAGAGAGCGAGAGACCGCACACGTCCATACTGATATAACACCTGACACAAACATCCCAGAGAGACCTGATCTTCCGCGTGTGGGCCCGGGGGGCCAGAAGATGCCGCCTCGGGACGGCAGCCCGACGACTGAGCAGGCGCTGCGGGAGACCCGGGGCGGGAGAGGCAGCTCCGCTCCCCCCGCTGAACGCCTCCAAGGGCAAAGCCCAAACGAAAGGCACCGTTGCCTTTAAAGACGCTGGGAGTCCCGCTCTGGACGTGAAGGGGCGGCTGCGGGCGGCTGGCGAGGCGAGCTGGCAGCCGGGTCGGGGACGGGTCCGCGCCGGGGCTGGGCAGCGGCAGAGAGAGCCGCAGGGCCGCGCTGCGGACGCGACTCATCTCCTTCCATCCCGAGTCCCGTGCGGGTGACAGGAACGGCCAGACGGGCAGCCCGGGGCACGCGGGGCGGGGGCGGAGGCGGGCCGGCCGCCGGCAACCGTGGGAGGGAAACCGCAGGAGTGGCCGGGAAACCGACTCTTGCCTCTGCGGGGCGGGAGCGGGTCGGGGGCAAGACGGGGGTCAGGAGCACTCGGGGCCTTCCAGGAGCCGAAGCGTAGCTGGAAACCCTCCCTGCCCAGCAGCTCGCGTGGGGGAAGGAGAGAGCAGGCGGCGCGAGGCGGCAAAGTCCTTCCAGAAACTGAAACCGAGAGCAGCCGCAGTGGTTCTGTGCCGCGGCCCGAACTCCCGCGGGCCAGAGACGAGGCGGGCGACGCGGCGGGGCAGGTGCAGGCTGGGCGGCTGCTTGGACAAGCGCGAGGCTCGCAGCAGAGGCCTCGCAGGGGCAGGTCCGGCGGGTGGCCCGTGCGGGCGCGAGGGCCGCAGAGGTGGCGCCGGCAGGTAACCAGGTAACCGTCCCCGGCCCTTCCATGAAGCCACCCTGGACGGCGCTGGGGGTCAGGAAGCCGCCGGGACTCCCGCCTCCAGTGTGGTCTCCCCTCTGCTGCCTCCCGCGTCTGTCGGCCTGACCCCCAGCACCCCTTGCCCCGAACCCCCGTCAGCCTGACCCCCCAGCACCCCCTGCCCCGAACCCCCGTCGGCCTGACCCCCCAGCACCACCTGCCCCGAACCCCCGTCGGCCTGACCCCCCAGCACCCCCTGCCCCGAACCCCCGTCGGCCTGACCCCCAGCACCCCCTGCCCCGAACCCCCGTCGGCCTGACCCCCAGCACCCCCTGCCCCGAACCCCCGTCGGCCTGACCCCCCAGCACCCCCTGCCCCGAACCCCCGTCGGCCTGACCCCCCCGCACCACCTGCCCCGAACCCCCGTCGGCCTGACCCCCAGCACCACCTGCCCCGAACCCCCGTCGGCCTGACCCCCCAGCACCACCTGCCCCGAACCCCAGTCGGCCTGACCCCCAGCACCACCTGCCCCGAACCCCCGTCGGCCTGACCCCCAGCACCACCTGCCCCGAACCCCCGTCGGCCTGACCCCCAGCACCCCCTGCCCCGAACCCCCGTCGGCCTGACCCCCAGCACCCCTGCCCCGAACCCCCGTCGGCCTGACCCCCAGCACCCCCTGCCCCGAACCCCGTCGGCCTGACCCCCAGCACCCCCTGCCCCGAACCCCCGTCGGCCTGACCCCCCAGCACCCCCTGCCCCGAACCCCCGTCGGCCTGACCCCCCCGCACCACCTGCCCCGAACCCCCGTCGGCCTGACCCCCAGCACCCCCTGCCCCGAACCCCCGTCGGCCTGACCCCCCAGCACCCCCTGCCCCGAACCCCCGTCGGCCTGACCCCCCCGCACCACCTGCCCCGAACCCCCGTCGGCCTGACCCCCAGCACCACCTGCCCCGAACCCCCGTCGGCCTGACCCCCCAGCACCACCTGCCCCGAACCCCAGTCGGCCTGACCCCCAGCACCACCTGCCCCGAACCCCCGTCGGCCTGACCCCCAGCACCACCTGCCCCGAACCCCCGTCGGCCTGACCCCCAGCACCCCCTGCCCCGAACCCCCGTCGGCCTGACCCCCAGCACCCCCTGCCCGAACCCCCGTCGGCCTGACCCCCAGCACCCCCTGCCCCGAACCCCCGTCGGCCTGACCCCCAGCACCCCCTGCCCCGAACCCCCGTCGGCCTGACCCCCCAGCACCCCCTGCCCCGAACCCCCGTCGGCCTGACCCCCCGCACCACCTGCCCCGAACCCCCGTCGGCCTGACCCCCAGCACCCCCTGCCCCGAACCCCCGTCGGCCTGACCCCCCAGCACCACCTGCCCCGAACCCCCGTCGGCCTGACCCCCAGCACCACCTGCCCCGAACCCCCGTCGGCCTGACCCCCAGCACCACCTGCCCCGAACCCCCGTCGGCCTGACCCCCCAGCACCCCCTGCCCCGAACCCCCGTCGGCCTGACCCCCCCGCACCACCTGCCCCGAACCCCCGTCGGCCTGACCCCCAGCACCACCTGCCCCGAACCCCCGTCGGCCTGACCCCCAGCACCCCTGCCCCGAACCCCCGTCGGCCTGACCCCCAGCACCACCTGCCCCGAACCCCCGTCGGCCTGACCCCCCAGCACCACCTGCCCGACCCCGGCCCCTCCGCGGCGGCCCCCGCCCGGCACCTACCATCTCCTTGAAGGCGCTCTCCAGGGCGCCGACCACCAGGCACTCGTGCGGGATCTTCTTCTCGGTGAAGAAGCGGGACGGGGGGGCGCCAGGGGAGCCGGGGGCGCCCACACCTGCGCGCAGGGACGCGGCCCGGGTCAGCGTGCGCCCGGCCGGCGCGCCCTCCCGCTCCTCGCCCAGGCAGGCGGGCGGCAGCGCGGCCACGTTGCGCAGGATGTCCACCACGTCGCGCAGCTGCTCCGCCACGTGCCGCTGCAGCAGGCGCGACGCCACCACGGCCGCCCCCGAGCCCGCGTGCCCGTCGAACAGCGACCAGTAGTGGCAGGACACGCCCTCGGACTCCTGCGGGGAGAGGCACGGTGAGAGGCCCCTCGGGGCGCCCCCGGGAGGGGGCCCGGGGCTCTGTCTGCGCAAAGGGGGGTCACGACGTGGCAGGAGGACCCTGGGGCGGCACCCCAACGTGTCACTGCTGGTGGCCCCCCCAAAGCCGTCCTCGCTGACCTCAGCTCCCTGACTTCCCCACGCAGACAGGAGTGCCCCATCCCAGCCGCGACCCCAGCGCTGCGCCTCCTGTGAGCCACCCCGGGGAGGTCCCTGGCGTCTTGGGAGGACAGGTCAGCCCACTGTGTGGGTTCCTCGAGGGAAGGGCTCGGGTGACGCCCCGTTTTCTCCATCCCGAGCGCCTGAGGCCGTGTTTTCCCGGGGACGCCCAGGGGCCACCGGGACGCGGGGCTCCTGCTCCTGCCCTCTCCGCTTTCGGGCCCAGCCTTCCCGGTGTCCGGGCACCCCAAAGCCCAACACCTGCCCACCCCGCGCAGCGCCTGCCGAGGGGCTTCCAGACTGTTTGGGACGAACCACGCCACGTTCCCGGTTGCGGGAGAGGGAGCGGCCGGCCTGGACGCAGCGGGGGGGACGACACCGAGTCCCGGCGGAGCCGGCGCCGCGCGGGCCACCCGGCCTCCCTCCCCAGCCGCCCGCGGCATCCGACCCCAGCATCCGCCCGCGCCGAGGTCGCCCCGGGAGTGCCGTGGCCTCAGGGCCGGGCCCCGCGCCGACCCGCCCACACCAGCGCCCACGCGACGCGGAGCCGAGGGCCCACGGCCTCCCGCTGCCGGACTCGCCCGTCCTCGCTGGGGCCCGCGGCCCGGGCGTCCGGCGCCAACACTCCGTGCAGCTGGGCCCGTTTCCCCCGGGACGGCCCCGAGTGGGGCGCAGGGCGCGCGTGTGTCGCCGCGGCTCCTGTCGTCAGCGCGGGCCCCGGCTCCGCCCGGGGCTGCAGAGGGGGGTCTTTCTCTCTTATGTCGGACAGCGCCGAGCGGCCCCTCCGGTGCACGCACCAGCCTCCTGCCCCGCTGCCCGCGGCCGCCACTGGCTCGTGTCACGATGCTGCAGGGGGACCGGCCGCCACCGGCCCACGAGCTGCCGCGCCAGCCAAGCACCATCCTCGCCAGCGGCGCGGCCGCAGAAGGGGGGGTTTCTGCCCGGAGGCCGCCCGAGTGCGTCTGCCCCGCGCGTGCTCCCGTCCCTGACTTTCCCTAAACCCAGGCACGTCTCTAAGGAAGCCGCCGCGGGGCAGGGAGGGAACCGGACCAGCCTGGCCGGGCCCGGGCCCAGATCCCGGTGCGCCCGGTGCCGCCACACTTGGCCGTCGGGCTTCCGAGGTCACCGCCCGAGCCGCGCGGCGCCCCAGGCTGGAGCCTCTGCGGTTGTGAAGGCCCCTCCGAGAGCTTTCCGGCAGGAACGCGGCATTTCCCGCAACAAGGCCAAGCGGTCAGCAGCCGCCACGGCCACAGCCACTTGACAAAGCAGCCGAGGAACGTTTAGCCCGACAAGAGGAAACTCGGCTGGAGGAATTCCAGGGCCGACGCCAGGCGGCCCCAACATTCTCCTTCTCAGAACACCGCTGCTACATAAACCCTCTTTAAAGGGGTGCAGGCCGGAGGTGTGGGGGCTGAGAGGACTCCCCGGAGACAGGGCGGGGAGCAGAACAGGCGGATCCACTGAGATCCACTGCCGAGGGGAGCAGCGGGGAGGCAGGAGGGGTCTGCTGTGCCCTCTGGGTCAGCTCCCTGGCCGGGGATGGAACTCGCCCTGCAGGGGCTGCGGACAGCTTCACGGTGCTGAGACTCAACCCCTGCACCACCAGGGAGGCCCCTGCACAGCTGATTTTTTTAATGGGAAAATAATTTTCACAGCTAGAACTGGTAAAACGAAGAAAGCGTGCTTCTTAAAGCTGGAATAATCCGGCACTGCTTGAGGCAGGAGGCCAGGCCATACCTGTAAAGCCACCACCTCTGCAGACGGGGCCCGGCCTGCGTGTTGTCCAGTTCCCGGGGGTCCTGGGGAGCAGAGAACGGACTCCCGGGAGTGACGGCAGGGGCTGCCCGGCAGTCAAGAGACCCACCTTCTCGCTGCAGCTGCTGCGGGCTCACTGTGCGGCCAAGGAGGCGGCATCACAGCTCCCCCACAGCCCAGCCCGCTGCGAGCCGCGCTCCTGCTGCTAAAATGGCACCTTCGGGATAACAGCCTGTGGTTTCACTCCCGTGGGAGTCAGAGACACAGAACAAACCTCTAGATGCTGACGACAAGCGGTTACCGGGGGGCGGGCGGGGTCCTCTGCCGGTGGTGGATGCAAACCCGCCCTTGGTGGCAGGGGCGGTGCGCACAGCCCTCAAGGGGTGAAGCTGCACCTGCCGCGCGGCGTGGCCACCAGTGTCCTCGGCCGGGAGGCGGCCTGGCACGTCTGTGCAGCCCACGGAATGCGGGCAGGGCCTGGCTTCCCCTTCGTGCCTGCAGCTCCGTCTGCAAAGCCCTCCCCCGCCCCTCCCAGGTGGCCACCCCCCAGCGGGGCACACGGAGCTCAGGGGGGTCAGAAACAAGAAGAAAATTAGAAATTCGTTCCTATTTGGTCACCGAAAGCCAAGAAGCTAAGCTGGGCTTGCCTTCCTGCTCCAGACAGACACTGGGCCCTCGCGGGTGAGGCCCCGTCCCGGTCACCACCCACCTGGAGCTCTGCCGCACCCCTGAGCTCTGGCACGCGGGGAGCCGCTGCTGGCCTTGGGGGTTACGTGACTAAGTTTTTAACTAAACTACCCCTCATGGAGTAGACAACAGGCTTTTATAAAATCCCTGCAAAGACACCGCTGACAAAGACACGAGCCGCGAGGGCGTGCCGCGGCCGGCGGTGCTCCCCAGGGACGGCCGGCTGGTCCTCCCTGACAGCCTCATCTCCAGCCGGAGGACCCAGGCGCCCCAGGAGACTCTGAGGCACAGAAGGACACTTGCCGCCGCCAGGGCTGCTGACTGTGCCTTGAGGTGTCAGCTCACGCGGCAGAGTCTGCCCAGGAGACGGTGAGTGAGCCGCTGCGCACACGCAGGACGCCGCCTGGCAGCAGCCACCGCCTGGCAGCTGCTGCTATTTACGAAATTGCCTGTGATCCTTTTTGCCTTGACATTATTTTCCAAGTTTAAAAAATGCTTGGTGGTGTAGGCCCATGACTGTGACGTGTCTGCGGCGGCATGGCTGTCTCCCGGGAAAGGAGCTAACAGCGGGGAGACTCGCTCAGGAAGCTGCCCACGGCCGAGGCCGTCGAGCAGTTATGCAGCTTCTCAGTCAGCAGGGACGACTGCTAAACAGCTCTTAAATAAGAAATCGTAATAAAAAGAAGAAAAGATTTAGTCTCGCATTATGTTGACATTAGATGTGTCAACATTCGGCATGTTGAGTCCTTCACTCCTGACTTTTCCAGAGAGTTTGACCCGCCGCCTGGCCTCCACCCAAGCGCTACCTTCCAGCTCTGTACCTCGGTCTGCGCATCAGTAAAACAGACAACACTACGCACCCCGACATGCGCTACGAGGAAAAGGAATTACTACTGCAAAGCACTGGCATTGGTGCCTGGCAGCTGAATACGTTTTGGTTTTATTTTTTAAATTTTTTTAAGGGTTTATTTATGCACACAAGAGCTGGGGTACAGGCCAGAGGTGTGGGGGTGAGAGGATTCACCAGAGACAGAGTGGGGAGCAGAACAGGCAGATCGACCGAAATCCACTGCTGAGGGGAGCCGCGGGGAGACAGGAGGGGTCTGCTGTGCCCTGTGGGGAGCTCCCGGCCGGCCAGGACTCGAACCCGCGCTGCAGAGGCTGCGGACAGCTTCACAGGTTGTGTCTTAACCCTTGTGCCATCAGGGAGGCCCCATTTTGTTTTTCTTTAAAAAGAAGCAAATCTCAAGAGTTCGCCTCCCTTGCCAACGCTCTTCTCTCACGAGCTGCGGGGAAATCGTACAAGTAAAACAAGAAATTTCTGCCTCGGCACCATTTATTTTCCTTTCGCCTTAACATTTGCCACGGCGGGGAACCAAGGATGGGAGCGAGTCTGGGCTGCTCTCTCCGCTACACCTTGGTCAAATCTGGTCTTCGGAGGAAGCCAACACCCACCGAGGAGAGACCTGGAAGGTTCCTCTCCCCATATGAACCTGGACGATTCCTGGATGTGGCGTCGCCCGTCCTCATCACCGGCCGGAGTTCTAGACCTTCGGGCAAAGAGGTAGCGTCTCGACAGATACCCTTGCCCTCCCGCTTCAAAGACTGAGGAGACAAATAGAAATGCCATGTTTTCTTGCCATGCGGGGGACAGCGGTCTTGACTACGAGGGAGAATTCAGAGTAATAATCACGACGAGAGGCACCAAGGGCCACCCTTACTGTTGTTACAGCCACACGGCAGGAGCAGCCGCCAAGGAGGGCCAGAGTCCAGGAGGGAGGCCACTGTGGAGCCTGAAGCAGCCTTTGTTTACCATTCCGGGTGCGAGCATCCTTCTAGAGAGAACAGATGGAAAGAGGTGCAATTCTGCAGCTCAGAGAACGCAACCAGTCCCTTCTCATTGCCATTCACCTCTCCTGCCCCGCCGTGATCCTTTTGCCTCGACCCCCCCCAGTCTGCCCTGTCCCCCGCTGAGAAAGATAATCAGCTTTCCTCGCCCCTGCTGATGAGCCTGGCGTGGACACAGCCCTCGCCTGTTTCTGTAATTAGCCCTGAGCGGACGCGCGGCGCGCGCACCTGTGTGTTCTGACAACAACATACGGGCGCCCCGGAGGAAGCGGACTCGGATGCGGGAGGCGCAAGATCGCCTCAGCTGGACACAGCCTGCTCCACAGGGAGTCGGATGTGGGGGAAACGTGCCCTGTCCCCCACCCGCTCACCTGAAGTCAGGCTAGGCGCCGAACCCCAAGGTTGCAAGGTGCCCCCCTTAGCCATGGGCTCCTCCCTCCTCAGAGAAGTCAGCATCTCTCTCCTGGATGACCCAGTGCTTGAGAGCTGAGAGCGAAAGCTCGGGGAAAAGCTGTGTTCTCCCGGAACGGCAACCAGGGCGACAGACTTTGTGAAACCCAGCTCGCCGAAGGAAAGAAAACCCAGCCATGGAGACGAATTCCCGTACATCTTGACCGGGTTTGTTAAAAAAGGCTTCGGTCTGCCGTGTCCTTTGGAAAGACGAATGCTCTGGAGCCCCTTCTCCCCAGCCACCCACTCTCTGCCCAAAGAACTAGAACCACGGGAGCGCTGACAGCTTGCACACTGCCCTGGGGGGCCAGGCCTAGCTGCCCAGCGACGGGCTCACGATGCTTTTCCCACGAATTCCCCGATGTGGGACACGCACAAGAAAAGTTCCCCCTAACTTGCCACAGAACGCATCCTCCCCGCTGCAGAGACACCCATCAGAGACTCGAAACTCCTCTTTCCCAGTCCTCGAAAGAGGAGCTTGTTAGGGGCCTCCCTGGGGGCACAGGGGTGAAGTGTCAGCACCAGGAAGCCGTTGGCAGCCTCTGCAGCGAGTTCCATCCCCAGCCAGGGGGCTACCCACAGGGCGCAGCAGACCTCTCCTGTCTCCCCGCTGCTCCCCTCAGCAGTGGATCCACCTGTACTGCTCCCCACTCTGTCTCTGGGGAGTCCTTTCACCCCCCCGCATCTCTGGCCTGCACCCCAGTTCTTGTATGCATAAATAAATCTTTTTTTTTTTTAATCTAGATCCATCACCAGATGTTCTGCAGGAGCGACTACCATGTCCTCCGGCACGTCTTCAGGCTACAGTGCCCCCGTGCAGAATCCTGTGAGATGCTGACAGCCGGGTCTTCTCTAAGTCCCGTGACTTCTTTCAAACAATGCTTCGTAAGCGCCTGACTTTTTTTTACTTTACGTAAAGATGGAAACTGACATTCATCTTCTGTTTTCTTTCGTATTCTTGTAAGTAAGGGACGCTTGTCAAGAGCTCAGCCTCACACTGTTGAGCTCAGCCTCAACAGCCCTTCAGCGAATGCCTCACGCGAGCCCGAGAAGCGGAATGCGGCCCGGCATTACTCCAACCACCTCAGAAAGTTGTCATTCGTTTTAAAACAGGAGATAAAACAGACTTCTCTGACGACAAGATCACCGGCACTAGTAGGGGGAAACGAATCTCTAGGAGCTGGCGTGAGGGCTGGCTCCACGTTGACTTGAAATCTTTACGACAATTCACAATCATCTACAGTAAGGAAAAATCATCTCATCGCTCCCCGCACACCCACCGTCACTCAGCATAAGAAAGATCATCAGATATAAATGAAGCTCCACCTCCACGGGGCTCCCCGGCCATCCTAGGACTCCTCGTATACACAGTATTCTCAGGCTAATTCCTCTTCTCATCGGGAGGTTCATGTCACCGAGCTCGGTAGCCGAGGCGGCAGGTGGGAGCAGGTGTCTCCACACAGGGGCCTCCCAGGCCCAGCACCGGCCGGGCGGAGTCCGGCTCCATCCTGAAGGGCTCGTGTTCGGCCTCGCTGACCTCCAGGAAGGGATGTTTAGAGGTTGCTCCTGCCTCCATTTCCAGGAGGAACTTAGCAACGGGAAAAATGTCATCACCACCCGGGCCTGGGCCAAATGTCAGCGCTGAGACTTTACGTCCCCGTGCGGGGGAGAAACGCCCCGAGAGCCACGGGACGTCCCCGGCCCCTGGATCCACGCATCTGGGCTGTCGTGACTTTCTGAGCCTGTCCTCAGCACAACTCACTCTTCAAAGCAGGTCTGCCACGCGGGCATGACGAGAGGGGCGCCGCGCCCGCCAGCGCACAGAGGGACACGCGCCACACCCGTGGCTGTGTCCACGGAAGCGAGCAGAAGCGAGACTTCCGAGTGACCACTGTGGGCAGGCAGCAGGGATGCACACAGCGGCTCCACGTCCCCCGCGGGCGGCTGGACCGCACCCCCCCAGCAGCCGCCTCCTGGGCACGGGCGGTGACCGCTACTAGGAATCGTCTTTGCAGCAGGAAAGCGAAGTTCAAAGAAAAACTACCCTAAAGTGAAGTCGCCCGGAGCTGGGCTGCTCTGTGATGTCCGACTCCAGAGCCACCTTTATTCCCCCTCCCTTCTCGTCCTCCACCCCTCAGCTCTTCGGGAGAGGCCAACGCAATGTTTCTTTCAGTCTCGAAAACAAGAATAACTGATGACTGGGCCTCCCTGGGGTGCAAGGGTTAAGGCTCAGCACGGTGAAGCTATGGCCACCTACCGCAGCCTGAGTTCCACCCCGGCCAGGGAGCAGCCCACGTGGCGGGACAGACCTCTCCCGTCTCGCCCGCTGCTCCCTCCCCTCAGCAGTGGATTTCGGTCAAGTCTGCCTGTTCTGCTCCCCGCTCTGTCTCTGGTGAATCCTCTCACCCCCACACCTCTGACCCCAGCTCTTGTGTGCATAAATAAATAGATCTTTAAAAAAGACAAAGCAAGAATAACGCATGAGCATCTACAGGCCGCTGTGGTGTTCTGAGGCCAAACTGAAACTAACAAAACCAATCCGTCCTCTGAGTCCCTCAGCCTAATGCAACGAGACAGCATTTCTCAGCCTATGAAGACATTCCTAGAAGTTTTATCACCTTATAAAAACCCGTCTATAAAAGCAGCCTCGGATTATTACCAAACGGGCACGTTTAGGCCACCCTGCCCCAGACTCCCTCTCTGTGGAGCTAATTAACCCGCCGCCAGCAGACGGGCCAGCGTGCCCGAGCCTCCTCTGCCTGTCTCTTCAGAGCTCCAGGGCTGCCGGCCTTGCTCTTCAGAAACGAGGCAGCGAGAACCGCTCTGAGGCTTCTCAGCAGCCTCTCCTCTGCGGGGCGGCCCCGGGGCGCGGGGCTTGGGCCAACGGCGAGCGGGCAGGGCCCAGCCCCACGGCAGGCGGGCGGTGAGGAGGGGGCCCGGCGGGCAGCGCCCCACGGCCGGAGCCCCAGGGGTCCCAGAGACCATCTCCACAAAACCTCCAGCGGCTTTTTACAGCCCGGACGGCGCACGCACCAGCTCCTGCAACAAAACCCCCGCGCTGGGCGTCACGAAGGCCCAAACGCCAGCTCCTCGCGCGTGGTCAGCCCCCACGGACCCCCGCGGCTGCCCCCAGACGGGCCCGGACTCAGCCCCACGCCTCGCCGCGGGCCGGCAGGGAGGGGGCCTCACCGCGTTCTCCTTCAGCTGCAGCCCCTCCCCGTTGGGGAGCGAGGACCTCCTGCGGGACGAGTGTCTGTTTGGGGTTGGGGGGGCCGCCCCTGCTTTCCTCTTCACCGTGAGCACCTCGCAGCTGGCCTGGTCTTCGTTGTGCGTGCTCTTCCCCGCGTTGATGACCCTGGAAGAGAAGCCAGGAGAGCCGGTCAGCGACTCCGAGGGCTGACCGCTCAGGCCCAGGGCCGGCCGGCGTCTCCCACTGACCCGAACTAAAGCTGCACCTGCTGTGAGGACGCGTGGCCTCCAGACGTGATGTCTGAGCAAACTGACTTTAAAAAAATGCAGTTCCTCTAGCACACACTAAGACACGCACGAACGCGCCGCTGTGCGCAGGTCACCTTCGCACGGACAGGTGCTCTGACGGGTGTGCGACGCCCTGCAGCCACGCGAGGCGACCGCGGGAGTCAGTCGCTCTTTTAGCAAGTGCAACAGAGACAGAGCCGCTGGCTCGGCCACCTCTGCTGCTCTTCTCGGAGTGATGAAGCGCAAAAGCACCGCCGTGCCCTCACAGAGCAAGGCAGGAATTGATAGCGCAATGCAAACCCCAAGGGGACGGAGGCCAGAGCGCACCGCTGCCACGCCCCTCTCGCTTCACACACGGGACGGAGTGCACCAGGCTTGCTCTTTTCCAATGATCTTGGATCCTCTGTCTCTCCTCCTGCGCAGGAAACTCATCCCTCCGCATCCCCGTCTGAGCTGACAAGGCTCTGATTTGGCCCCATGATGATATCACAGTATGTTACACTGCTTTGGCCTAAATGCTACACTTAAAGTGGTTTTTTTGAATTTATTTATTTTTTTATTTGTGCATATAAGAGCTGGGGTGCAGGCCAAAGGTGTGGGGAGGGGTGAGAGGAGTCACCAGAGACGGAGCGGGGAGCAGAACAGGCGGATCTACTGAAACCCACTGCTGAGGGAACAGTGGGGAGACAGGAGGGGTCTGCTGGGCCATGGGGGCAGCTCCCTGGCCGGGGATGGAACTCGTGCTGCAGAGGCTGCGGACAGCTTCACAGTGCTGAGGCTTCACCCCTGCACCACCAGGCAGGCGCTACACTTAGAGTGTTTTAAGCACAGGAATGCTTCAGGAAGACATGCTGCCTGCCTCGGACACCTGCTTCTGGATCAGGACTGAACTCGGGGGGTTTCAGCACCACTTTCTTTTTTAAGTAATTAAGCAGCAGCTAACAGAGATTTCCCAGCAGAGAGCGCTGCTTGATTTCCCATTGGCTGTGTTTTCTTTCCAAAACATCAACAGTGTCACAGCAGGTGGTGGATCAGCATGTGAAGGAGGCAAAACCCAGTGGTGAAGGGGGGAAGGTGCCTTTTTAAGGTAAGGGAAGTGGAAATCACCCCATTTGCTTTAATCTGGCTGTGCACCTTCGTAACAGTTAAAGGCATTTTCCAGACCTTTTAAGTTAAACTCTTATGTTCTGAAACAATTATAGATTCAGGGTTAACTGTGAAAGCAGAGTCCCAAGCATCCTTCGGCCATCAACCTCCCCCCCCCCACACACCCCAGGACACCGCATATAACTAAGCATAGCATCAAAAGAAGCAACTGTCAGCGGCCTGCAGGCCGTATTCAGGTTCCATCATTTTTTCCACATCCAACGGCTTTTAGAATTGGGAACTGCAAAGGCCAAACTATCATCGCACAACACCTGCTCTTGCTTTACAAAATTACATGTCCAGAGTTAAACTGAGACCACAATTTCCATAAAAGTCTTGCTCAAACACACGTTTATAAAAACTACAGCTTACGGCACAGCTCCTCCAGCTCCGATCCCTCCTTTTATAGCACAGGGAGTTTAAGCTCGTGTTGGCTGAACCGGCTCCTCCCGCGGCCACGTGGTGGTAAAGCCTGAACTGAAACTCACTTCGCCCAACAGCTCACTCCGGCCTTCACGCTCTCTGCCAAGGATGTGAAAGGACCATCTTCCCTGTACCTCAGCCTGCTTGTCAGAGGTTTTTTCCTTTTCCAAAATTAAAATAAAATGAATTAAAAAATCCCATATAGCTCTCCATTAGCCAACACATTTGACCACAACCGAGCGAAAACGGAGCCGTGGCTGCTGCAGGGCCGCGCGAGTGTTTCTAGAGCCCTCAGGTGGGCTCCTGTGTGGAGACTGTGAGGCCACATCTACTCTGGTGTTGATCAGACTCTCTGGGGCGGAGGGACGCAGGCAGGGAGAGCTCAAGTTCTCACTTTTTGCCCCACCGCCAGGCTGCCCTCTGGGGAAGCGAAGGCCATCTCATGCGGTTTTGGCATAAAGGCAGTTCTTGAGGTCAGAACAAGGTTACCTACTCGCCCCCTTTACCACTTCTGTTACAGGACAGGGAGAGGGGCAGCCCAAACCCCGCAAACCTGCCTATTCTATGTAGGGTTCTGCCATCCGCCGCATCACACAAAACATGGAGCCAGGAGACCTGGAGGAGGCGCATGGAGCCTAGAGACACGTGAAGAAACTGCGCTTGTCTTTTGGTCGTGGACGGGGTGACACAGACGTGGGTGAGACCCGTGGGGAGGTGACCGTGGCGGTTTTTGTCTTGATGTTGATTTTGCTCTTTTCCTTCCGGGCTTGTCTGGTTGTCTCTGACCCTTTTCTGTGGGTCCCCACTGGAAGATGCTTTAGACTTGGGGCAGGCTTTGGGGCCTTGCTCTGGGCCAATCCCATTTGGATGGACTTTTACCCACGAGGGGACAGGTCACTTTGGGTGCTTGATTTAGAAACTAGACTCTTTGCCTTACCTGTATTGTTTCCTAGTTTAATTAAAGTTCCTTCCCATTAAAGTCTCCTATGTTTTGTGCTGATGCGGCGGATGGCAGAACCCTACATAGGATAGGCAGGTTTGCGGGGTTTGGGCTGCCCCTCTCCCTGTCCTGTAACACTTCCACATCTGCTCCCCGAGTGAGGAGTGAGGTGATTTCCCCAGGTTTCCCAGCCAGGGAGGGGCTCAGGGTGTGGCTCACTTGACCCCCAGCCCAGCCTCTGGCTACACAGACGCAGAGGACGGTGAGGACCAGGAGGGAGGAGGAGTCGGGCAAGTCTGCGCAGGCCTGGATTCCCTCCCTGCTTCAACGGCTACTGCACGGCCCCACAGGGAGCCTGGAAGGAGGCTGAGGCTCAGCTCTGCCGTCTCTGCACAGGCCCAGGCTGAGCCCCGACCAGGGCAGCTGGAGGGGGAGGCTGGACGCACCGCAGGCCTCTTCTCAGGCACCCGGGTTGCTACGGAGCAACCCCGATATTGTATGGAATTAGCTTTAGGACAGCCTTCTCCCCCAACAGGGTGACTTCCCAGGCCCCGCGTCTGCAGTGGACAGCTGGCCAGAGAGACGCCACGACCCGGGGCCCCTCCGAGCGCTGCCCCGGGGAGCTGAGCAGGAGAGTCAGGCAGAGAAGCCGGCTCCTGCTGACCGCCCCTCCACGCTGTCCTCTGTGCCGATCCTGGCTGCTATTTCTGGAATTTGGCATCATCCTGACCACCGGCACCTCGATTTGTGCTGCAGTCAGGTCTTTTTTTAACAACAGAAAAGCATCACTGCTCTTCCACAGCCACGCGCCGGGCTGACTCATCTGCCTCTGCTGTTCGCAGAGTCCACGAAGCCATATAATCACAGACATCACGAACAGGGCCCCTGAAAGGGCTTTATCTTCCCTGCCTTTTAGTGGATATTAAACCCCAAAGCTGACTTGACTTCATCAAGAGACCCTAAACACTATTTTCTACATAAGAAGCCCAGGGCCCGAGGTCACGCAGCGAAACATGGCAGAGCTGTGGACACACTTCGTGCTTCTGGTTCTTTCTGCCCCAGCTCTCGGGCTTATTTTCCTGTCGTGGATCTATTCTTATCAGCGCTTGGCTCAGAGGCTGGACGCACTGACTCATCCGAGCCGGAGAGCCGGCTCTTGCGCGGCCACTTCATCTTGAACACCGTGTGAAAGGCACTAAGGAAAGAGAACACCAGAAATGTCAACCCAGTCAGAAGAGGCAGCAGCAGCCCTGTCAGCCTGGGTGGTCGGATCTCCGGTCACCGTCCAGAAGAGAAAGCCCTGTTGGTCTAGAGTCGCGGCCTTTTCAGGAAGCCCAGCTCTTCCCCCGCATCTGAGCATCTGAACGGGTTTCGCATTCCTTGCCCCATGCGGAGTTGGGAGAAAGACCTGATCCTCCGCAATTGACTTTGGCTTTAAAAAGCTTGACCTCAAGTAACTTATTTTTCCCCTTCCAAGGCAAATGCTTTATTTATTAAAAGTAAATGAAACCTTTCATTCCTCTAAGAGTAAGCTGAGAAAAACTTTGTTTCTGGCAATAAAGTCAGTAATTTTTTTCAATGTAAACCAGTAGCCGCTTTCCCTTCTTGCCTTACGAAGCAGAGATCAAAAAGAACAGCTATGAGATGTGCTTCTTTATCTAAACAATACCCACCCCAGAGGCCCTTTTCAAAGACTTAAAAAGAAATGCTGGCAAACCACAGCCCTCTCTTTGCTGACATTATTTTCCCAATTCCTATGGCGTAAAATATTTTCGCTGACGTGACATTGGAGGTGATAATTCCGAGTGGTTAAGAACACAGGCTACCCCCCCAGAGGGAGCACAGTCAGCGTTGACAGATGTTTGTTGAATGAATGAATGACAGAAATCAAAGCTGCTGCTTCCTAAATGTGAAGAAATAATGTAACATCCCTGCCCTGTAACAGTGACAGTCTCCTATACGTGTTAAAATCTATGTGCCTAGACTGTTTTCAGCATTTTACACGGGATTAACTCACTTAATCATCTTGTTGACTCTATATTGCTACTGCTACCGCCTTTTAAAAGGTAAGTTGCTGCTCATGGATGGCAGAGTGGCTGAAGTATTGATCTTCTGCCAACCTCAGTTCCTTAGCAATGCTGCACGGATGACGTTCTGGGAGTTCGACAATGTGTGTGTGGGGGGAGTGGGGGGTTTTCCTCTTCTAAGTTAAAGAATTGAGTAATTTTAAAGTTAAGATTAAAATTCAGGTGGGAAAAATGTTGGAGGCCCAGGGGCAGACCAGCCGCGACCTCTTCAGTGTGAAAGCTTAGAATTCTTCTGTCTCTGAGAAACGGGAAACATTTGCCCTTGGAAGCCACATGACCACG